TCAGAGATCCACCTACCTCTGCCTCCTGGATGCTGGATTAAAGGCGTGTTACCACCACTTCTGGGCTCTGCAACTGTCATTTGCTAGTGGGAACTTAACACCTAGTGTGACACACAGTAAAGAAAGCACGTCCTAAGCTTTAAGGGAATTAGTGACTGGTAGCCAGGACTGCTTGTCTCCTGTGTGGGCTTGCTTCCACTGTGTCTCTTAAATAGGGGGCCCCTTGGGGAAGGGGGTTAGCCCTCAGTGTCCCTAAACACCCGACTTGCTCAGCTCTGTGCGCCCTCAGGTCATTCCCAAAAGCAAGTTCGTCCTGGTGAAGTTCGACACCCAGTACCCCTATGGAGAGAAGCAGGACGAGTTCAAGCGTCTGGCTGAGAACTCAGCCTCCAGCGATGATCTCTTGGTGGCAGAGGTGGGGATCTCAGGTATGGACAAGACCAGGATGACTGGGGACGGGGACTAAATAACCCTCTGAACCATTCCCCTGAGGAAGCTGTCTGTGTGGTCTGTCAGGACCCGGTGCCTGCAGCAAGCTGAGCCACAGCAGGTGCTGCCCCAGAGGAGCCGACAGATGTCTGGAGTCCCTCTTCCAAACCCTCATCTGTCCCACATAAAGCTTCCCTCAGAACCAGATCTCTCCTTGTAAGGCAGGGACAGGAGGAGTGCCTTCCTCTTGTCTTCCTTTCAGTTTCTGTGCCAGTGTTGGATTGTAGTACTTGGCTGGAATGAGCCTGAGCCACTACTAACTAAAGGGCAGTTTCTACGATTGTGGTCACCAGCATCTAGTGGTGACAGCTTGGAGATCTGAAAACACCAAATTTCAGTCCTGTCCTGACTGTTACACAAGGACTGAGATGTCCTATCTCTTTAGCTGGGAGGCCTGCAGCTCCAGGACCTTACCTGTGTCCACCCAGCTACAGTCTGGTGGCAGCAGAGCTAGCTGGCTAGCACACTTCTTCAGGGCAGCTAGATAGTTGACTCAATTTCCAGTCAGTTCCCTCAGAGCTTGGTGAACAGTAACTGCAGTAGGGCTGACAATGATCCTGTGTCTACTTGTGCCAGACCACTGTGCTGCTTTCTACTAGTTTTGTTGATACCTCTGTGAAGGAAGTACTGTGGGACTGTCACCTTCATCACAGACCTATGGCCTGATACTTAAGACTTAATGGGGGAGTTTAATGCCAGACCTAGGGGCCTGGAAAGATAGCTCAGCAGGTAAGAGCACTGGCTGCTCTTCCAGAGGACCCAGATTCAGTTCCCACACCCACCTGGTGGCTCACAACTGTCTGTGATCTGATTCCAAGTAGTTGACACCCTCACACAGACGTACATGCCAGCAAAACACTGGTGCACAGAAAAATAAATCATTGAAAGAAAAAGAACGGCAGGTTTAGGGCCTGAAACCTGCCTGGAGGCTGCCTCTGTCTTGTTTCTCTGTGGAGCGCAGAGATGAGTATCAGCTACCACCACACATTTAACACTTGATTCTTCCACACGATGCCCCCCAGTGGTCCCCTGCAGTGTCCCAGAGTTTGACTGGGCCCTCACACCCACAGGTCCTGGCAAGTCATGGACATGATACTCAGAAGCCCTCCCCAACCCCCACAAAACACAGGGGAAGAGAAGGATCACTGAATGGCAGAGTAAAGCCACATGGCTAAGGAAAAGAACTCAGACCCTTGAGTCCTTCCCTCTCCTTTGCAAGCCCTGTAGTGGTGTTCTGCTGGTTCCTCATGTCTGCTTTCTGTTGGCAGACTATGGTGACAAGCTGAACATGGAGCTGAGTGAGAAGTACAAGCTGGACAAAGACAACTACCCAGTCTTCTACCTCTTCCGGGATGGAGACTTTGAGAATCCTGTCCTGTACAATGGGGCAGTTAAGGTTGGAGCCATCCAGCGGTGGCTAAAGGGACAGGGAGTCTACCTGGGTATGCCTGGATGCCTGCCTGCCTATGATGCCCTGGCAGGCGAGTTCATCAAGGCCTCCAGCGTAGAGGCCCGCCAGGCTATCTTGAAACAGGGGCAGGATGGCCTCTCAGGTGTGAAGGAGACAGAGAAGAAGTGGGCTAGCCAGTACCTGAAGATCATGGGGAAGATCTTGGACCAAGGTGAAGACTTTCCAGCCTCAGAGATGGCCCGGATCAATAAGCTGATTGAGAACAAGATGAGTGACAGCAAGAAAGAAGAGCTGCAGAAGAGCTTGAACATCCTGACTGCCTTCCGGAAGAAGGGGGCTGAGAAGGAGGAGCTGTGATGGGCACAAGGGTTTACAAGGGCTTGCTGGGGGTGGGAAGGGAGAGCTAGCTATCTGCTGGCTGTGGGGCCACTGTAGGGTGGAAGGGGCAGTGGAGTAAAGCAGTCCTGAGCCAGAAACCGAGCCCTGAGTATGCCTGGACATTCATGCTGCTGAGACCATACTTAGGACATCCCTTGAGCCAGTCTGTGGAGAGAGCCTGTGTGCTCAGTCAAGATGGCTGGTGAAATGCCCCCGCAGGAGTTGGTGCTATAGAGGGAGGTACTGCCCAGGTCCTTGACAACTATAATTCTGAACAAATAAAAGTTGTGTTTTGGTTAGATGGCTTTCTTTTCAGATAGCACTTTTGGCCTACGATCAGAGTTCAGTTTGTAGTCTAAGCTGTTGTACATTCTATTCTGCCAAGACTCCTTCCTGCACAAGGCATAGCCTTGCTTATTTCCATGGCTGTCCGTGTATAGTGAGGTACAGCGTGCAGTCTATAGACTGACCTTATGTGAACAAGCAACAGGGCATCATATTTCCTGTCTCCATATGGCAAGCATATTCTTACTTTTACTAATGTACTGTCTTTAGAATTTATAAACCAAAGTCAGATGTGGTGACATACATCTATAATCTGAGCACTGGGAAGGTAAAGGCACAAGGATCAGGAATTCAAGATCAGGTTCGTTGATTTTAGGACCAGCCAGTGCTACATAAGACTATGTCAAAACCAAAACCACACGAACATTCATTCCAGTTTCAACATATAAGATACAAATTACTTTCCAACAAAACCACTTGCTGTAAGCTCTCAGTCAACACCAACTTTTGATGAGCCAGGTGAGCAGCAGCAACTGACTCAGAATCAGGGGGCTGAGCCCCAAGTTTGCCACCTGTTATAAAATGCCCCGGAGCTGCAGCTCCCCAGCAGATGAAAGCATACTCAACACAGTCGGCAGAAGTGTGAGGCCCTCCAGCTCCTTCCACCAGACTGCTATTCAAAGTGATGTGGAAACAGAACAGATGAAAAACCCTGCGTTCAATTGAAAAAAAAAAACACAGTAGCTAAGGCTATCTCACAAGAGTGGCCCATACTCACGGTGCAGTCTACACCTCAGGAATGAATGTGAGATCTAGAAAATCGAGTATTTTAATCTTCATTTTTTAATTGTTATGTCTTGAGTGCTGTTTGCCTGCATGTTTGTGGATCTACAGTGTACCTGCAATGCCCATAGAGGCCAGAAGAGGGTGCTGGATTCTCTGGATCTGAAGTAGATGGTTGTGATCCACTTTGTAGGGGCTGGGAAGAGTCCTTTAGAGCTCTGTCCTAACTGCTGAGCCAGCTAGATGCTAATTATTTTAATTTTTAGTTCTAATTTTAGTTGTAATTTATTTTAGAATCTCTTTGGGTGCTTCAGAAACACCCAGCCTTGCCTTAGCTGTTCTGGTTTATACCCCTATCTAGGCCAGGCTAAATCTAAAGAACAAAGGACTTGCCCTCCTCCAGTCTCTTCATGGTTTGTGACAGCAACAGGATGGATGGACTCAGTTCTAACTTCAGGAGCTTGGGAGCAAAAGACTAAATTACCGAGTCTTCTATTTCAAGCCAAATGTGCTTACGAGATTTGCATATGTCTGGGAAATGCAGCCTCCCCTCATACTGCAGGCAAATTACATCCAACAACACAGGGCCAGGGCAGTAATCTGGCTCTGATGATGGCTACCTAGAGTCCTTTTTAGGGTTACACAGCTACATAGATTTTAAAGGAATTCCTCAGTAACTTGAAGCAGTAAACACTGGATCTAACAGAATTTTATTCTAATGAACCTGCACACTTTCTCCAATAGTGCCAAGAGTAACTTTTTAATTTGGGAGCATAAATGCCATTAATCAAGGGCAGAGTGGGGCAAGACAAAGAAATCCAAGGTCAGCTCAGGCTATAGAGGGAAGCCCCAAGCCTTGTCTTGTAAAAAAGGGATCCCAATTTTAACTCTTATGTGGGACCCATGCAGTGTTTGTGGGAATAGAGAGAATAAAGTTGTGCACCCCACCCCCTAGCATGACATGCAGTGGGTAACCCCAAATAACGTGAGATTATGTGACTTGTCCTGAAGGTTTGGCACCTACAGATTTGCACCATGTCAGGAAGGTTAAGAACAAGCAAGCGCTCATCTTTTTACTGAAGGGGGAAAAAAAAACCTATTCAAATGAAGTCAGTTCCTCCCTGAAGCAGGCAAATACTGCTAAGGGCATGTACTATCAGGACAAAGGAAAACAGCTCCTGTGTTCACTCAGACTGCCTGAATGAAACCTGGAGGTGCTTTCCTAGGAGGGTCCTTTGCCCTTGACACATTCAGTCTGTACACTCTGACATACGTGTGACGGCTCTACAGCACACAGCTTCCAGGAGGACTCAGGGTCCCAGCAACTAACAGATACGGCACATGGCACCTGCTCAAATTCACCCGTTAGTTAATAATGGGAGTGTGCAAGGCACAGCTGTTATGTCAAAGAGATTAGTTCTGACCTTTAATCTTTTGGGTTTTATTTTCATTTATTTGTTTTAAGGCAGTGTCTAGTAGCTGAGCATGGTTTTGACCTGATCCTCCTGCCTCCGCCTCTAAGAAGCTGGCTCTACAAGAGTGCTCCATGCTAGCCCATATTAGGGATACTAATACAGAACTGAGAGGAGGTACACTGTTTTGGAAGCTCTTATCTTTTAAGACTGAACAAAAACGAACCAGGAAAAGTGCCAACTTAGAATAAAAACATTTATGTAAGTCAGCCTGTCCAGTTAGAGCTGATCTGCTGCCTGCACGTAGTTCTCAAGAGATCCCCACACCAATAAATCACATAAAAAAGTAGGAAGAGTTTCAACAAACCTGCAGATAAATTGAACCCCTTTTTGTATTGAAAAAGTTGAAATGAAAGACATATACAGGTTGAACGTGGTGATTGCAAAACATAATGCAATTTTGAACAATTAAAATTATGAAAATATACAAAAATGATGGCAGCACACCTAGGTTAGCACACTCCACTATGAGGAGGCACTACAGAGGACTCTGTCCACGGCAAAGTAACTTGAACCCAATTCCTGCTTTGCAAAGTCTTGACTTAGGATCTCAGTAGTATAAAAAGCAGTGATTTTTTTCAGTCTGTAAACAGTAGTCGTGGTTTTTTTGTTGTCTGTTTTTTAAATATCAATTTACCACACAAAAACAAAACAGAACAAAACCCATATAAACCAGAACAGCAGCAGCAGTGGGCCTCTGAGCATTCTTAGATGCTAATGACACCAGGAATGGGGAGAGGAGGCGTTCACTCAGTAAGAATATATATATATATATATATACTTTAACTGTACACAATGTATAGTGCATGACAGCTTCCAAAAGAATAGACTGATAAAAGATATTGGCCATTTCATAATTTCATTCTTTTTACAGTTATCTCAAAATGTAAGAATTAGATCTGATTGAAATGCTACATTTAGTAAGAAAATCAGCAAGTAACAGGAAGTATAACCCCAACATGACATTTGTCAGTAAGACCAGTGGAGGTCCTACATGTTGGGGCAGGAGACTGACTGCAAAGACCATTAGAGGAAGGAGCTCTGCCTGGAGCCAGCCCACGGAGTCCGTACTGATGACGGTCAGCTGACAGCTGTTTTAGAGCATCTATGACCATGAACACACAGTACAATTTGAATATCCCAAGAAACATTATTCCAGGAGCCAGGGCAGTGCAGGCAAAGCCCACCCAGTCCCATGGGAACCAGGCCACAACTATATAAAAGGACCACAAGTTATTGTTGGAAGGCAAGTCAAAATCAGGGTCTTCAATCCGTCTTATTCAAAAAGGCCCTTTCTTTGGGAATGGAGCATGTGATACTCTGGTGCAATTACGTGGTGTAAGCTCCAGCACATCCTACAAGAAAGTACTTTGTACACATTTCCTCACAAGTTTAAATTACTGTTAACCACTATGCTGATTTGTGAATCTAAGACTGTCAAGATAAAGGATGAAATGCAAACATAGCCACTGAGATTCTGCCAGCTGGCCTTTAGCTGCTGTCTGTCACCTCTCCGCTGGAACAGTACATGGGAAAGACTAATCCTCACCAAGTTCATTTTTTCACCGTATAGTTACAGACTCTCAGGAGTCGGGTGACAGGGAACAAGAACAGAAGCAGGAAAGGAGATTCAGACACAAAACAGTCACGGAAGGAGCTGTCGGAGCTCGGCACAACATAATCAAGAGCAGTTTTCATCTTCTCTCAGACCAGCCTCTTATAAGCTGGAGGCTTAGGGGCCAGACCTCCAACCTCAGGAGAACAGTGTACGTACATCCTGATGCAGTTCTCAAGTACACCAGCATCAGGCCCACTGTAAAACATATCCTGTCAACCTAAAACTTAAAACCCAGGTTAACCCATAATATACAGTTCCTTCCGTCCCCAAACCTCCCCCATAAAAGCACTAAAGGAAGTAGTAAATCTGTTTCCAGGCATCCTTATGCATCTGCGTATCTGTGTGTGACTCATGAATCGGCTGCAGACTGTGACTCAGAAATGACAACACAAATCATGTACAGCCTCTCCCAACAGCTCTTCACCTTCCCTAGAGGACCAGCGGGCGCAGTCTCAGCAGCTTAGACTTCTTCCTCAAAGTGGGCTGAACTCAGACTTACTCGCTGCCCTGAGGCTGAGCTCTCCCAGGAGCGGGGGTGGGGATGTCTTGGCTGTTGGGGCTATGAAGCCAAAACTGAGCACCTGTGGTCACATGTGGTGCCCTGCAGTGGCATGCACTCAGCCATACCTTACCTGATCCTCTGGACCCATCCTGGTTCTGTGGGAACCTCACAAGGAACCTGCCACTAAGGGAAGGGCCCTGCTACCGAGTCTGCTCATACACTTGCTTTTGCCTTGTATGGCTCAAGTACCAAAGCCAAACCCCCACTGCATGATGGAAAATCGACCCGCCTGCTCTGAGGCCGACGCTATACTTAGTCTCTATTGCAGCTTGGATAGAAACGCCCACCCCAGACATTTCTGGTGATGGGAGTGAAGTGGGGTGCTCTTGTTGCTGTCCTGTGTGTATGAACAGGTATAAAGAGTGGTAAACCCAGATGAGGGTCCTGCTTCTGGTTTATATACAATAATTTAATCTGTTGTATATATTTAATACCTCAAAAATTAATTCACGATCAAAGTCCTTCATGCATTTGTGAGGAAGTTCTGGATTAGAACGATGCCAGCCAGATGTTGTTTTTGCTGGGGAAGGTGGTGTATTGTCATCTGCTGTGGAGTCTTCGGTGCCTGTGGTTGATACTTCCTTAAATTTTTAGTTTCTTTGTAGTCTCGAGTCTTTTTCTCAGCAGCTCCCCCGTCTCCAGAAGCGAGTGCAGGTAACTGCTCTGTACCTTCCCCTGCACTGTCCGTGAGAACTTTCTTTCTTCCTACAAAACAAACAACAAGTCGTCTTGCTCGAAAACCAATTGCTCAGTTTACCGTGACCTCATGTAGAACACTCAGGGCATTTCAGTTAACTGAGAATATGGCAGGGGAAAGCTGTCTCTGCCGTTAGGTGATTCACATAAGGCACACGTGGCACAGTCTGGGATCAACAGGTGTGTGCCCCAGACCAAAAAAAATGTTAAGAGTCTTTCTGAGTAGCTTGGACACAGACTATGTTATGACAAGCTGGCCAAGGTATGAAGTGAGAGTGATGAACTGAGCATTAACTGACTGACCCTCAGGAGAGTCTCAGCCTGTGCACAAAGCACCCTGCCTGCTCGTCATCTCTTACCGGAGAGACACAAGTGTCCTCTAACGTGAGCTCCTCAAGTTTAAGTGCAGTTAGGTGTGCTTCAAGTCCTTTAACATGATCCACAGCATTGGAGATCACAGTCTGCAGTCCAGTGACGTAGTCCTGGAAACTGGTGAAGACCGGAGGCTGGGGAAGATTAAAGAGCTAGTAAGAACTTCTTCCCAAACAAATCCTGTTTTCTTTTTTTTTATTTTTGTTTTTGTTCTGTTTTTTTTTTTTTTTTCTCTTCGAGACAGGGTTTCTCTGTGTAGCCCTGGCTGTCCTGGAACTCACTCTGTAGACCAGGCTGGCCTCGAACTCAGAAATCCGCCTGTCTCTGCCTCCCAAGTGCTGGGATTAAAGGCGTGCGCCACCACTGCCCGGCAACTCCTGTTTTCTAGCATGGAATGACAACAACCCAGCACGCAGTGTCCGATGCTGTGAGCACAGGATGGATACACTTTGGGGTAAACAGACAGTGACGGTTTAGACACTCTGGATGGGAGGGGTCCTGGGACTAACAAGCAGTTTGTGCTTTTCGAGCACACCACCACACCACTGAGTAAACGCTGCTGCTCTCCTTTTTAAAATGATGAGCTGGAGACAAACAGACAGAAAGTGTGTTAGTTGTTCCTGACTGCTCAGGGCTGGATGTGTACAGGAACTGTGCAGGATGGAGAGGAAACCAAGGCTGCTTTCAGGTCTGCGGAGGCAGCTCGAAATGATGAGCTTACCAGTGTGCAACTCAGACACAGACATAAATGCTGGCTACAAATGCTAGCGAGGCAGAGACAGGTGGCTCCCAGGGCAAGCTAGCTATATAGACTGGCCAAACTGGTGTGCACTGGCTTCATGTGAGAGACCTTGCCAGTATGGGAGGTGGAAAAGAGCAACCAAGGGTGATTTAGGACCCGACGTGCATCTCTTCCTTACGTGCCCATTTATGAACATGCACTCTCACTGGCATATAACACTAACACACACTAACACACACACACACACACAAACCAAAGCAAAAATTTTACTCTTCCTTACATCTGAGATTTCCAGTGTTAATGGAAAATTGAATCTTAATGTTCTGTTTTCATTTTTTGTTTGTTTTAACTTTTAGGGTTCTGGGATGTTTGTCTGTGTTTTTTTTTTACCATAAGATCTTGCTGTGCACATAGGCCTAGCTGTCCTACAGTTAGTGAAAGAGGAAGAGAAAGAGGCAGGCCTGGAGGCTCATCCCTGTCATCTCACTCAGCACTCCTGTCATCTCAGCACTCCTGGTGGAGACAGGATGGTCATTAGTTCAAGGTTGTCCTTAATATGGAGTTAAAAGCCAGACCCTGACTCAACAATAACAAAATAAGCACCACAAAAAAAGGCTTCAATTGTCTATGTGTACGATTTTAATTTGTGCAATTTGCTTAAGTGTGAAAAGGCCTTTCTAAACACGACACTTCACTAGATACCATTAAAAGGGTTATCTTTTTTTTTTCCCCAGAAAGAATCCATCCATGGAATAAAAGAGTTAGGGCTGAGGCGATGGCTTCAGTCAGGAGCACTGACTGCTCTTGCAGCAGGCCCAGGTTAGAGACTGTTAGCATGCACTGGTGGCTAACAAATCTACGGAGATCTAATGCCCTCTCTGGCCTCTGTGGGGTGCAGGCACTCAAGTGGTCTACAGACATACATGCAGACAAAACAACTACATTTTTATTAACTTGAGAGGTGGCCACTATGCTAGGAGGGTTATCACTTCAGACCTGAGTCTAGATTCTAAGAGTAGCTCCATTTATAGTCAAGATATTATGAACTAACTACATCTTCACCAATAAAAATAAATTACAGTATATTAATTAGTATGATTGAGAAATGACTGTCAATATTGAGATGTATCTATAGTTACTAATATAAAATCAAGGCTAATATCCTAAGTGAACACACACACACAAAAAAAACAAAAAAAACCCAAAATAGGCAAGTTGTAGATTTTTGTTTTTAAAGAAAAAGGCTCCTAAAACCCAGGCTGGCCTCTAACTCACTATGTAGCCCAGACTGGCCTTGAACTCTTTCTTGACTTGTGTCTACTTGCTGAGCTTGCTCAGCTGAGAAGTCCTGACTTGTATTGGGCATGTCACTCAGTTAGGAACATGGGTGATCTCTAGTCACACGTCCATGGTTATTGCAATAATCAGAAAACAAGGTGTAGTGGGTCACCCCTTTAATTCCAGTACCCAAGAGGTAGAGGTAGGCGAACCTCAATTCAAAAACCCTGCCTCAAATCAATCAATCAATCAGTCAATCAATCAATCAATCGGATGAGTTAGTGAATAAACAAACATACAAAGCCCTCAAAAGCCAAAAGTCTCTTGGATAAGTTCTGGGATGGCACACTTTGCTGTGGGGTTTGTTTGGGGTCTCTGCTATGTGGCTTTGGGTGCAAGGAAGTCTATATAAACCGGGCAAACTTCAAACGTGCTGTGTTCCTCCTGCCTCTGCTTTCTGAGTCCTAGGATTTTGAGCATATGCTGGCATGACAGCTTTGCAGTATGTGCACGCACATGTGCGTGCATGCGTGCGTGTGTGTAAGCTTAATGTCTGAGTGTCCGTGGAGGCAGTAGACGGTGTCTGACCTGCTAAAGCGAAAGATAAAGGATGCTGTGGCCCATTAGCACGGGTGCTGTGAGCCACGTTCAGCGTCTGTGGAGGCACGGCAAGCCCTCCTAAGCACTGAGCCAGCTCCCAGCCCTGCGTCTACTTTGTAATCACAGAAGGAAACGAGAACCAGGAAGATACTTCCTTTCCCAACACGAAAATCTCTAAGAATGGGACACAAACATTAGTGCTTCCCTATTTAATGAACTGAAAGGGCAGTGCTAATGTCTAACCTGAGTTTCTCCCTATATCTAAGAAACACTAAGTCCCAATAGTGTGACTACTTACTGCCACACACCTGCCTAGACTCCTCAAAGCAGACTAAACACAGTTAAGAGTATCCAGCTGCCAGGAAGGCAGCCAGAGGGAACTGAAAGCTGCAGCACAGGGTACCGCACTTAGTAACGGAGGAGCAAGGCCGCTGTTGAAATTCACAGGTACTCCAGACTGGAGCTTGTCAAGACCATGGTTCAGTGTGAGTGCCTGGGACACACAGGTTCTTCCAGCTGACCTAGGAAAGGGTCTTCATGGGGCCACTAATCTTCCACTGTTACTGTAAAGATGAACCTGGGAAGCGGTGGCAGGGACAATGTAAGTTCAGGACAGCTGGTTAAAACCAATATACACTTGTATCCCAGCTACTGGGGAGGCAAGATTCAAGAATCAGGACAAGCCCAGGCAACACAGCAGGGCCCTTTCAGAAAGGGCTGCAGGAAAGGTGTCTATAGAGACCTGAAGACTCTGACAACATGAGGAAAACAGTGGAAGGAGAGGCAATTGTGCCAGGATGTTGGCTGTTCTTTGTCATTACCATAATGATGCTGGTTTCTTTTTTCTTCTTTTTCTTTTTCTGAATATTTAATTTGTATGGTCGCAAGACACTCTCACAGTAACTGGATACCCAAAGGACGATAGAGATAGTCTGAAAGAGGAAATTTACAAACTCATCAGTATAAACTACATTAAGGCATTTACACAGCACCCAGAGACAAAGGCTTAAACAAAGCCATGGCACTGGCAGTTATGCAGAAGCCAGTCAGTGAACATGGCAAGGGACAAGCCAACCAGGACTGGCAGCTGGATTATGTGCCAGGACAAATACTTCAGCCTTGGAAGCTGTCCCTCATGCATCTGTCCCAGCAGTTTGTGGCTCCAACAGCGGAGCTCAATCCTCCTTCCTCCTGGCTCTCCCTCTGCTAGACTCCATCTTACTTCCCTTCCCTTTGTTAAGTGCAAAGTCCGCATCCCAGCATGTGGGACCCAAGGGTCCCTTACAGTGTGAACTCTCCAGACAGTGGTTAGTGGGACATGGACCCTTGGGCTCCAGCTGTCCCCTGTCCCCCACTGTGGGAGTGTGTGTGTGTGCTCAGTGACTGCTCAACACCACTGGCTGGGGAACACTGCAGTTAAAGAGGGCTGGCTGCTCTTACAGAAGACCTGGGTTTGGTGCCCAGCACCCAAATGGCAGCTCTGGCCTTCTGCAGGTTCTTGTATGCAAGGTACACATGAACTCACACAGGCACACAATATACACACAAATATAAGACAACAACAAAAAGAATCTGGTTAAAAACAAGAGTTTTGCTGCCAGTTGTGCTGGCCCCGCCCATGACTAATAGGAGGCCGAGGCCGAGTTCAAGACCAGTCTCAACTACACAGTAGCACTTTCAAAAAAAGCAAAAAGGGAAGAAACAAACTATTGTATTTTATCCCCCCCACCCCCCCGCCGCCCAGAGGCCTGGATAATACAGACTGCTAGGCAATTAGTAAAACAAACGGTAGCGTGAACTCAATCAAAGGCCAAAGAGGAGGACAGAGTGCTGATCCAGCGAACTTCAGAGGAAGAACGCCTATAAGAAGCTGGCCCTAAGCACAGCAGAGGAAACCAGTTTAGAAAATGACAAAAATGGCATCCAGTGTCCTAAATAATCAGTGACAAGGGGTAAGCTGCAGGTGTGAAGCTCACGCTCTGCTATGGAGAAGAGTTAACAAAAGCCATGCCCTCAGGAAGGTGAAGACACACACCTCAACGAAGAAGACCAGGTTCTCTAGGACTGCAGGCTGTGTCTTCACATTACCATCTTTAACTTCTAAGAGGTCCCCTTTACATGTGCTGAAGACACCTGAGGGGGAGAAAAGAGGTTATGCTATTATTCTCTGTAAGTTTTGATGCTTTTACAATGTAGAATCTGAAAATAAGTAATATAAAAACTTAATCCAGGTAGGGCCTGGTGGCATTGGAAGTCAGAGGCATATAAAATCTCTAAGTTTGAGGCCAGCCAGGTCTACATACTAAATTCCAAGCTACCTAGAGCTACAAAATGAGACCCTGTCTCAAAACAAAACAAAACACAACAACCAATAAAAAACCCAAATAAATAAAAGCTACAGTGGGATAGGAGTGGAGCTGAGTATCACTGCCTGAGTCTTACTGCCTGGCCTGCTCTAGGTCTCAGACATCATCCCCAATACCACCAAAAAACAAAAAACAAAACTTCCCCAAACAAAGATTCAAGACATATAAAGTAAAATGTCTTAACAATTAATGTACTGTAGTCTCTAAATTATGAAAAGTAGTCTTAACAACAATACATGCTAGGGTCTGGCCATCAGCTCACAGATCTGAAATGCAGGCTGTCATATACTATAGACTGGCTTCATTTAGAAGACCTGTGCCCCTGTGACCTCAAAGGCTCGGAAGGCAGGCCACAGGAGGAGAGCATCTGCATGGGCCTGGAAGACGGCCTGGTTAATGACGTGAACGTGGGGTGCAGCCGAGCCCCCGGGGCAGCAGCAGACCAGTCAGATCAGAGCTATGGGTTCAGTGAGCGGCCTTGCCTCCGAGAATAAGGTAAGAGAGACACTCCAGCCTCTGCACATTCATGACAGCTTCCCACACCCACCCACCCCTCCCTCTCTCTCTTTCTCATCCCCCAGCCACACACCCACAGACTCACCCATGTCAATTGAGACTACTAACTTCACACTGTTAGGAGACTGGCCAACTGAGTCTATGTAAGACCAGACCCACTGACCTCCCGTTTATACTAGTTTTCAAGGGCTTCTGTATAAGTTTAACTTTCAGGTATAATGCTGTTGCATGCATGTAATCCCAAGGTAAAGAAGGAAGACCATCAAGCCAAACCCATCCTGGGCTACACAGTAAACTGGAGGTAATTCTGGACTATACATGAAGACCATCTCAAATACAAAAAACAAACACTCTTAACTTTAGTAAAAAATAATTAAAAAAAAAAAAAGCCTGGCAGTGGTGGCGCACGCCTTTAACCCCAGCACTTGGGAGGCAGAGGCAGGCGGATTTCTGAGTTCGAGGGCAGCCTGGTCTACAGAGTGAGTTTCCGGACAGTCAGGGCTACACAGAGAAACCTTGTCTTGAAAAACAAAAACAAACCAAAAAAACCAAACTAACTAAGTAACTAACTAACTATGCTTATTTTTAAGCATTTCTTCCAAACCCTTCCATAGGTTTATATATTTTTATACGCTGTGCTACTTTCAGACACACAAGGACAATTCAGGAATCTTCAATAAAAACTTACCTTTCAACAATTCTAGTAGAGATGTAAGACTATTTTCTATTCGTTCTTGTATATCCACTGTACCCTCTAAAATTGAGAAACAAGCAATCAACATTGGGTTTGTTGTTTGATTTTTTTTTTTTTTTTAAAAGAAAAAGCAGCAAACTGGGCATGGTTGCATATAGCTGTGATCCCACCACTCAGGACACTGACCAGACTGAGCTCAAGCCCAGCCCACAAGCTGTGCTGGGAAAGCCGCTTGTCATCAAAGCTGCATTTGGTCCCCAAGACCCAGGAGACCAAGTTGGTAAAAGGAGAAACTATTCGGTTGTCCTGTGACCTCTCAATGAATGCTGTTGTACACACAGAATAAGTAAGCAAGCAGGCACATAAATGACAAAAGCCTACAGCAGCAGGCCAGCAGCAGGCCAGGAGAGATGGCCTGGAGTTAGGAGTATATAGAGCCTGTACAAAGGACCCGAGGTTAATTCCCAGCACACATTTCAGGATGCTCACAGTGGCCTGTATCTCCAACTCCCACGGAGCTGAAAACTCTGGTCTCCACAGGCACCTGCCTCCCCTGCACACCCTGACACACACACACACACACACACACACACACACACACACACACCTGGAGGTGTGTGCTGGAGAGGTGGCTCAGCAGTTACGAGTGAGAGTACTGGCTGCTCTGGTAGAAGAACCAGGTTCAATCCCTAGTACCCTCATGGTGACTCATGACTGTAACTTCAGTTTCAGAGAATATGGCCCTACCTCTTCTGGCCCACAGGGCACCAGGTATGCACATTCTGTATAGAAGTGCACACAGGCAAAATACTCATACACATAATAAAATTAAAAACAAAAAAAAACAACTGAAGTAATAAGAATCTGAAAAGGAGCACAGTAAACTCAATAACAACCATCAAGTCAAGGCAGGCCCTTTCTCTGAGAGGCAGACATTTAAACCTACTACTGAAAGACAGGCAGGAAGAACTGCAAACGGAGGAGAGATGGTGACAACTGCTCTGGACAAGAACTGTCTCAGGCTCTCTAGCAGAACTTGCCAGCTACGTTGCATGCACTGCAGATCAATCAGCATTGTGGGAGTGGGCATGGGGCTTAGGATATGAGTATGTCTGATTCCCTATAAGTTTAGGATTTTTGTATTTATGGCACTTACTAATTTTTTTTTAAAGTACCCTAATTTTGTTTTGTTATTTTGTTTTTCTTTTTTTAAAAAAAGATTTATTGCCGGGCAGTGGTGGCGCATGCCTTTCATCCCAGCACTTGGGAGACAGAGGCAGGTGGATTTCTGAGTTTGAAGCCAGCCTGGTCTACAGAGTGAGTTCCAGGACAGCCAGGGCTATACAGAGAAACCCTGTCTCGAAAAACCAAAAAAAAAAAAAAAAAAAAAAAAAGATTTATTTATTTTTATTGATATGAGTACACTGCAGCTGTCTTCAGACACACCAGAAGAGGACATCGGAACCCATTACAGATGGTTGTGAGCCACCATGTGGTTGCTGGGAATTGAACTCAGGACGTCTGGAAGAGCAGTCAGTGCCCTTAACTGCTGAGTTGTCTCTCTAGTCCCTAAATTTTTAATGATAAAGCTCCAGTAAACACGTGCCCTTGCATACTTACCTAAGCCACTGGTGTCAAGCTCATACACATCGCTGACAAGATGAAAGGAGTGGACCTGGCACTGACAGCAGCCGGAACTGAAGAACCGGCCCATCCTGGTGGGGACAGGCCCAAGGAAGGGGTACTGGAAAAACAGAGAAAACCACATCCTTAGTTCACACAAAGTATGAAAACAGGACTTGTAACTACTGGATAAAACTTTATAGAAATCCATCCATCAGAAAACCAGTAACTGACTCCCACAGTAACAAGGGAAGGCCGTGTGTATTAGCTGAGCATGGTGGTGTGCGCCTGTGGTCCCAACACTGAGGCAGGAAGACTTCAAATTCAAGGCCATCCAGAACTATACACCAAGACCCCATCTCAAAGGAAAAAAAAAGGAAAGAAAAATCCCTCAAAAAGCTCTCTTGCTTTTCCTGACTAATGGGTCTAGACAGAGCAATGCCCTGAAACGGCCCAAGGCTTTCCATCCCTCTTTCTCTGTTATGCCAACAGTTGGTGGGATAATGATTGAGCCTCCAACAGCAAATACTTATTGATACCTGAATTTCCTTCTCAATAAACCGCTTCCCCGTCTCCACGGCCACTTCTAGCTGTTGGAGGAGCAAACGAAGGATGTCGATCCGGGAGGACACACCGTTCTCTGACATCTTCTCTGAGTTCTTTGGCTCCACAGGGTGGGTTAGACTTGGAAGTCCACTGATCAGCCTCAACGTTAAGGAGCGAATTCTTAACCACATGGTCTCCTCCTCCAAGGAGAGTTTCTTATGCTCTTCAGAAACATTCCTTAAACAGAAACATCCCCAGACCATCCATTTTACTCAGCCTGCTGCCTTCAAAGCTTTGAGCATTTGGTTTCCCTGTCAGGATACCTCAGTAAGGTTCCTGCCTTCACCTGGGGCTCAGTCCAAGCATCTGATTACCACCTCTCACAGAAGGCCGTGCTTGGCAACCTTAGCTACAGGGCATTTCCCCACAAGGAGTATCTGCTCTAAGGATTGAAACGTGAGTGATACAAAAAAGTTCAAATGCCAGACTAAGGGTAGGTAGTAAAAGTGCCAAGTTACCCAAACACTCACGAGTCCGCAGGCTCACACAGACCCATACACAAGTACACAAATGCATGACTGCACTGGGGCTCAGCTCGATGGCACAGGATGCTTTACCATTTGTAAGGCGTGGGCTGAGTTCCAAGTAGCACCAAAAAATACAAATATATAAACATACCCCAAATCCTAAACTGGTGGTAACACTGGCACCATCTCTTGTTGAGGCAGTAGCTCTTTAGATCCAGCCGCCTCTCTCTTCCTAAGAGCTGGGATTAAAGGAATGGATGGCAACCGCCTGACCTGTACTAGTTGCGAGCCCCATTTCTTTAGTGATAAATAAACCGTGCTGCAGAAGGACCTATCTGCAAGGTCAGCCTTCAGCTGGTGCCTGGCAGCGTGGACTCCAGTCATTGCTTAAACAAGAGCAGCTCCTGTGGCTGTGAGAACACACCGTCAGGATACGGTGAGTATCTTCTCTTTGGGGAGCCCAGAACCTTGGTGTCCAGCTGCTAAAAGCCTTGTACACTGATCATCCAGCTGCCCTAAGCAGAAACAGCACAAACTGCGCAGTAACACCCCTTCCTCCTGGCTGCTGCTTCCCGCTGCCTCTTGGATGGAGGGAGGAGAAACCAGTGGCCCAGACTGTCCCTGGCCCTCCACATCCTCTTCTCTGGGATGAGCCATAGTGGTGCAGTACAGCAGCTATACGCTGCCTTTCGGTCTTTCTGCCAGCTTACTCTGTAGTTTTGGCAGCCTACAAATCGGTGTGTTCAAAGCCCTCACACACAGGTGGTGCATGCTTGTGCCCTAGCTTCCTAGTGCAGACATGCTAACTACATGTTACATTGTAAACTCCCTACTGAAAGGCTATACATTTTACATGTCACCTAAATACAAGGCAATAACCGTAATCCCATACAGCTTTGCTGACCACAGCCATTCACTCATCTCTGCTAGAAAAGAAGTCATGTGTAGCAGAGCCTCATCTGAGGAGTTCCTGGTTATACTGAGAATGGCAATACAAATGAAGAAACAGAGAGGGAGGGCCTTGAATCTTTTTCTTTTCTTTTTGAGATAGGGTCTCATATAGCCCAAGCTGGCCCAAACTTGCTATATATAAAAGATGACCTTGAACTCCTGATCGGTCTGCATCTCTGTCCCCCAAGTACTGGACTCCAGCAGAGTGACACCATATCAGACTCCATGCTTCATTAGACTCTAGTAGGCACCACCTCAGGCTGTTCAGAACGTCTGTAGGCATGAGTCCTTTAAATCTCCATGTTTGTACTGGAGAGAGCAGTGTTTGCCTGCATCTGAGCTGCCTTGTTCCTGCCCCAGTGAAGCAGGCTCTCCCCGCATCAGTGTTTGTGAAACTGAAAGCACTGCCTATGGTTGGTGTGGTTTCCTGAGACAGGGTTTCTCGATATAGCCCTGGCTGTCCTGGGGAACCTACTCTCAAAGCTTCTCCTGCCTCTGTCACCAAGTGCTAGGATTAAAGGCATGCGCCACCACTGCCTGGCAGTATGCACCCTTTTAAAATGAACACTTGTTTACTTTGTGTGTAGGTATATGGGGTACACACATGGAGGCCTTGGAAAGTCCCAAGAATTGAACTCAGATTAAGGCAAGCCCCGTTACCCACTGAGCTCTTGGTCTCTTCTGACCCCTTTGAAGACTGTGCTTCTAATGTACATGATCCAGGGACACTCTCTAGGACAGCAATCTAAAGGAGTATGCTCCAGTGGGTGGGATAGGAGAGTGGAGGGAGCTCTTCCAGTGGCTGATGAGCTGCTTCTCAAAGAATCACAGGAAGGTCCCAGAAGTTTGGTTTTTCTCTCACGGACACAAGGCCTCTGGTAGCAAAGGCCTTGAACTTGCTGTGTAGCTGGGAATGACCTTGAACTCCTGATCCACCTGCCTCTGCTCTCACAAGTGCTGGGATCACTGGTGGGCATCAGCATGCCAGGCTGAGAAAGGTTTTAAACCAAACTGTTGGTTACCCACTGTATGCACACATGCACGCACACACATGCGCACACAAACTGGACCCAGAGACCTGAAATATCTAGTTCAATGTCACAAAGTGAGTCCAGTTCTTAGCCAGCTGCCCTGAAATTGCCAACAATTTTCTCAACACTCAAAAGCACAGTCTGACCTCTCCACAGGCGTACTCACAGAAAGATGCTGAGAGGTCTGTGAGGGAGGCAGGGTTAGGGTTAGAGATAGGGACAGGGAAGGCAGGAATGGACAGACACAAAGGCACACTCATGACCCTTCTCTTGGGTCCACCAGTGAAAGACATGGTGCTGAGGTTCACATCTCCATCCTGACCTCAGTGCCACAGGCCGGAGGGAGCAGTGAGCTCGAAAACATACTCCGGAAACAGGCCAAGCAGAGGCCTGGCTCAACTACGTATTGCCAGGTGGGCAGAAGGGCAGCACATGGCATGTCTGCCAGTTTTTGTCACGACTGGGCTACTCATGCTTGTGAGTGGCTTAGAATAAGACATCAATTGATAAGTATTTTCCACCCTCCCCTCCTCCAACAACCCACGAAGCCCTGGCTGTCCAGACACTCTGAGATGTCGACTGCCCAGGCCTCTACCTCCAGGCATGAACAACCAGACCTAGCTAATAAACACTTTTCTTTTGTATTGCTCAAAAAATAATAATAAACCTGTATTTGTATATACACATATATTTGCACACATATATATATACACACATGTACACATACACACCCTAATTTGTCAAAACCATCACTTAAAATGTTTTCGCCTTTCTCGCCGGTGCCTAAGGAACTGCACCATGTAGCCTTGTACCCACTTGGAGCTCATGCACACCATGGACAGACCTACTCTCGGCAGTCCCAGCACAAAGTGGGATGTGCTGTGTACCTGTTCTCTGACTCCAATGATGAACACGTGTATTTGTGTAAAAAAGAGCCTTTCTTTAAAGTTGGATTCACTCTGACTGCTCACTGCCGAGCTCCTCTTACCTGTCCTTTGGATCCCAGCTGAAGAAAACATCCAAGTCTCTGTTGTCACGCAAGTCTTCCCAGGGGACATCATCCTCCTCTGGCCTCAGATTCATTGATTTGATACTTTCTGCCAAGCTAGTTGATCTGCAATATACAAGCTTTGGTTAGATGCTTAGGGGAGAGAGAGAGAGAGAGAGAGAGAGAGAGAGAGAGAGAGAGAGAGAGACAGACAGACACACACACACACACACACACACACACACACACACACACAGACAGCGAGTGGTGTATGTAAGACTGTGTATGCCTAAGGAGGCCAGAGGTCGACGTGAGGTGTCCTCTGTCTCTATCAACCTTGTGTTTCAAGACAGATATCTCACTGAACCTGGACCTCATGATATGGCTAGGCTAGCTGGCCAGTGAGCCCCAGAGAACCTTCTGCCAGCACTCGGCCTCCTAGCACAGGACTGCAGGCATGCACTGCCATGCCTGATTTTTATACATGGATGGAGGGGATCAGAACTCACATCCTCACAGTCTCACTACAAGTTCTTTACTACTGAGCTGCCTCCCTTGCCCTGAAGTTTTATTTTTATAACAATGCAGTCATGAAAACATTAGCCAGGACTGTCTATTCCTGGAAAGAGAAAAAGGATTTATTTTAGAAAACATGGTCTCATATGAGGGCAAATGGAACCAAGACATAGTCATGGCATCTCACTACATAGCAAGCAAAAGCCAGCAGAATAGAGTGGGCAAGCACCCAGGATGGTCTCCAGGGCAGACCACTTTTCTACTGGATCTGAGACACAGCCACAACCCTTCAGCACTCTCTATGACAGGGCCAAGGCTCTGTATCTCCCTTATCCTCCTGTCCTTCATTTTCCCTTAACTCTGCTACTGACAGCCATGAACATCTGGTCTGGCCCCTCAGTCCCTCCTGACCTCTTATCAGGTACTCACATGTTTGCTTCAAGTAGAAGGTCTAACAGCATCCGTTCAGTGCGCACTTGTGCAAAGTGGAGAGAATTATTCAGCCTGTTCCTAAAAGCGATAAACTCTGGGATCTTCTCAAATGCACCATATTTGTAAGCTTGAATAATGTATTCTGAGGTCTGAGAAGGAAAGACATCACCTTGGTATAAATACTCCCTGGGTCAGGCAATGTAAGCAATGCTTGCCAGCAAATTAAACATTCAAACTAGAAGCAAGGCTGGCCTAGCCTCTGAAGGTCTGGGCCACACAGTGCAGTCCTAGCCATGAAGAACATTCCTTTTCTTTCCCCCTGCAGCTGAGCCAGTGTCTCCTTTACTACACAGCTAGCCCTGAGGCAGCTGCTGCCATCTTCAGCGCTGACTTAGCAGTCATGTCTTTCATGACACTCGGACCTAGAGGATCTTCTATCACATCAGCCAAGACTTTGGCAAATGTCATTCCAAAAGGAATCTTACACCATACAGTTCTGCTTCTAAGACAAACTGTTATGTTCAAAGACTCTAAAGATGCCATACTCGCACAACCGTGCCCCACCCACAATGAAGCCACTCTCCTTCAGAAAGACACTGCTCCTTGGTTGGTTCTCTCTGAATTCAGTACCAGACACAAGGCGATGAGTTTTGCAGCAGGACAGAAGACACCAAACAAGAGAAACCAACAGGAATGTCATAATGGACTCCGAGGAAGCCATCAAGAAGCAAATCCCCTGAGCACACGAACTGCTCAGTTGCCCTAGACAACCAAGTAAAGGGCGCTCCCGCGCGCCCGCATGTACTGTAACTACAGGTTAAACATAAGCAGACGGGACGCTGCAGAGCGGAGCCAAGAGAGAGAGTGCTACACCAAGGCCTGGCGCAACGGAAGCCGATCTCAGGAAGAGCACTTCACGGTGGGCTTGGGCCACCAGGATCAGAAGACAGGTCACCCCTTTGGGCCAAGGGAATGCGGATATCTGCTCCAAAGTCACGTTCTAGAAACGCCAGTCTTCTGCCTAGCCTCAGCTTGCTGGCCCTGCCCCATTTCCACCATGCCTGAGTAATTTACCCAGTAGAAAAATAGGCCAATAGTCAACAACATACCCTCGGATACACAGCCTCGCAGGGTTCATTTCAGGCCGTGGGGCTGCACCACGGGTGCTAAGTCAACTGCATTCGATGCGGCTTTTAAACCCCCAGGGGACACCTCGGCCAGCTGTTTGCCTGCAGTATCTGGAGAGATTAAAGACGGACGGACACAAGAAAATTAAAAAGATTATGTGTGATCCTGCGGGTTAGGACTGCCTGCCAGCTTGACTGGGGACACTGGCATGCCCCGTCAAGAGGCCACACTTATCACGGATTTCTCTCCTGTAGTCCCCAACTTAGAAGACAGCAAGGCTAACTGCCAACCCTTGAACGGGAACTTACAGCTTAAAAACACTTCCAGCTAGCCAGGATGCAAACAAGACTTGGGTGGTTCCAGGCAGACTGCAGTTCCGCCACGGGAGCCAGCCTTCCCTCACGTGGGAGCTCAGTGTCGGAGCACCCATAGAACGTCACAGAAGAAAGCAGACAAACCTTTTACATGAGAGAAACAAGGAGCAACCGGAAGAAAAGTACAGTCTGAACAAGCCAGGAGTGACGGCAGTTTTTTGTGCATCTGCCTGAGATAGTCCTCCTCAAATGTCACACACAGTACACTGGCTCTGCAGAGCTAGCCAAGGGCCCAGAGAGCAGGAGGCTGAGCCTCATGGGACACCAGAGGCCACCACAGGCCTCTAAAGACTGCTGGGCAGAACATGCACCCACACCTACTCCCATGTTTTTGTGCACCAGTGAGGCAGGTTAGACACCAGAAGAACCCCTGAAATGAACCCTGGGCGCTGTGAAAATTAGCAAAACACAAGGGTATCAGACCTTAAATGATGACCAGTATTTATAGCTAAAACAGAAAAACTTCAAAGAAAAACTTTAAAAGTATCCTTATTTTTGTATTTCTGCAATGTGTGTTTGGGTGGATCCCCTAGAGCTGGAGTTACAAATGGTTGCGATCCGCCCGATGTAGACTCAGGCCCTCGCAAACCCAGTATGCTCTTAACCACTGCCCTCTCTCTGTCCCCCAAAAGGGAGTTTTTAAAACTACCTCACGGAAGACCTAATAGTGACACCTAACAAGAGAGGAGGCCCACCCAAGGATAACTTTCAACCCCATAGCATGCTGTCACCTAACCACGGCAGACTGTCTGTTTAAGAAGAGCTTTGTTAAAGAACTAATTAGGAAGGGAAATAAACTAGTAGCCAAAGGGAAAACGCATGTGGGAAATCCCTAGCACAAAGGAGAGCTGCAGAACAGATGCTTGGGCTTTGCAGAGAGCTACCCCAACAGGCAGGGCGGGCTCCTTCCCTTACTACAGAAACAGGCATCCATTGCCTCTGGTCCTCACACATGCTCTACTGAGAATGGTTCAAGGAGCCCAGGTAAACTCAAGGAGGGGATTGTTATTCCCTGATTAATAAAATGGTGATTTATCAGGCTCAACATCATCTCCATTTAGCTACATTGTGAGCGATTCCTGCCACAGTCACTATTAGCAAGACACTGACCCCTCTGAGGCCAGACAAGAAGATAAGAGAGAGAGCACTTGGGGCTAGCCTCACGTACATTGCAAATTTTAAGAGTTTTCAATAAATAAAATGTCTTTACCCTCTTCCTTATAAATACAGAAAGAAGAGATAAAATAATGAAAGATGAGGAGCAGTTCTTTTTGAGTAAGTAAATTTCTTGGAAAAAAGATGGCCGTCACACAACCTGAATGTGCCGTGTGCTCAAAGGTTCATCATAACTGTTACTTATACTGGAAGCTTAGCCCAGCATCAGAGACAAGGCTGCGGCAAGAGGCCAAAGCCAGCACCTCTGAAGCAACATGCTTAGATGCGGATACCCTCGTCTCTCTCATCAGTGAGAAGGTCTCCGCAGATACCAATCCCCGCAGGACAAACAGATACACAGTTGATGGTGTGGGCTGAGGCAGAAGCCAGCCTTCTCTAGGATCAAAGCTATCCTCTGCTACTGCACATCCAACAGCTCAGAACACACACGGCTCGCTCAGACGTGCGTCTTCCCTGCTTCTTTATTCTTTAACACGTCTCTCAAGAAGCACATAGAAGACAGGCATGACTTTAAAGGAAAGACCTCAAGACTTGTTTGTCAAGATGAGTCCCAGATGGCAACTTCCTCACCAAGCTCCATGACACTGAGAGACCAGGAAAATAGGAAGCTATGGGCTAAGCCAGGCACGGCCAAACTCTAGGAAGTGAGGCTTAGCCACACACAAGAAGAACAGCAGCAGGGACCACTCTGAAGACTCACCTTCTCTGCACACCAGCTCCTGAACAGTTTCGCAAGACCATCAACTGAGACTATGAGGGTTCCCTGAAAGGACTGTAACCAAGCGGGGCCAAGTGGGCAGCAGACAAGACTCCATGCAGACCCCACCTTGACTCTGCCCGGGAGGGAGCACTCTAACTTACTGGCCTTTAAATGCAGGAGGGGCGGCTATTGGCACAAACTTGGAGCCCTTGCTTCCAGTTTTGGAAGTCTCTAGACAGCACGTGAGATACAAACCTGAAAGACGTGAGACGTCTCTGTCTGTTAATGCCCCATTGGAAATGTAAGTTTCCAAGGATTCAATTATAGATACATATACTGAACAAATTCAATACGTCTACCTAGTAGTCTAAGGGCACCAGCCAGCTAACGAGCCAGATGCTATGTGTTATGACCCTAGGGGGTGCACTCTGAAGCAGGCAGGCAGCAGCAAGCCACAATATCAGTGGGTTTCACTTACATCTTTCTGGTTGGAGTGGAAAAACCTGAGTGCGAAGTTACAGGACTGGGAGGCAGCAGCATACTGACCCAGGGATGCAGCATATCGGGTCAGAAGATAGCTAGGGAGGAAGAACAGAGAAAACATTAGTCACCTCATCCTGCTGTCAAATACTAGGTGCAAACTTACTATGGTAAAGAGAGAGCAGGGCATTAAAAAAAATACCTCACCAGCAGAATGATCTTGCTGATGGGATCAAATTAAAAGAAAATCAACAGAGTTCTTTCTTTACATCTTGATAACAACTGCTGGAAAGAACACAACATTCTCTTCCTAAATTCAAATAACCACATAACATAGCCCAAACTCTAACTCAGGATGCGTTGGGTTAGTGGCAACAGCAAGGGAGTAGAACAGAGTTCACAAAACAAAGTATGTAGCATACACCCAGCAAAAGAGCACAAGCACTCCTCACACGGTAGCCAGCGAAGTCTCTGGGAGAGCACCTCACCACTTTAAAGCAGTGAACTCTGGAATGCTCGGAGACACAAACCCTCATGCACTGGCTAGTGTCTGGAGCCCTGCACTGCTGCAGTTTATACAGTGAACTTCCTAGGCTAAATGTAGCTGACTGCTCAGTATTCAGAGTATATACTACCAACCCAATGGTGTCGTGCTGGATATGCTTAGCATCAAGGCTGGAGTAAAGATCCACCACTGGTTCAAATGCACCCAGCACGCAGTAGATTCGAACAAGCAGCAATTTGAACTGAGCATTGGATGGGCTATGGGTTAAGCCTTCTTCCAGCAGAGTCAGGGCCTGCCACACAGCAGTCTCCTCACCTAGAATCAAAACACATTATCCATTCAGCTTTAAGAGCAGGGAATTTCCTAACAACAATAAACCTTGAATGAGTTTGGACGCATAAAAATTTTAGATACAGACCTGGGATCAAAACAGGGAATTCCCTAAATACAAAGTATTTATGATTCTTGAGTAGTTATGAGAGTGCTTAAATACAGCTGTGCAAAACAAATACAGGATGTATATATCTTGGAAAGGTAATCATGGAATCTCACATTTTAAGAGAGGGACTTTGAAGAACAAGAGGATGCTAGTTAGCCTGTCCCCTGAGGGGCTTTCCCCACAAGACAGACCCTACAAGATATTATCCCAAGACATCATTTTGATTCTATATGTGATCGTACTAAAAATATCACATATGATACTTTAAAAAACAAAATCTGCTGTTAGGAACAGAGAGATGGCTCAGCACATAAAGGCACATGCCACCAAAGCCTGCAGATGAGTCTGATCCCTGGGTTCCACATGCTGACCTTTATAACACATGAGCAATGGCACACGTGCCCACACATGCACACACACAGACATACAAAGTGTCATTTTAAAAAAGGAAGATGGAGCCAGGCAGTGGTGGTGCACGCCTTTAATCCCAGCACTTGGGAAGCAAAGGCAGGAGGATTTCTAAGTTCAAGGGCAGCCTGGTCTACAGAGTGAGTTCTAGGACAGCCCGGGCTACACAGAGAAACCCTGTCTCACCAAAAAAAAAAAAAGGAAGCTGGGGACCTGGAGAGATGGCTCAGCAGTTAAGAGCACTGGTTGCTCTTCCAGAGGTCCTGAGTTCAATTCCCAGCAACCACGTGGTGGCTCACAACCGTCTGTTGTAATGGGATCCAATAGCTCTTCTGTCATGAAGGCATACATGCACATACACCACTCACATATAGAAATAAATAAACCTTAAAAAAAAAAAAGGGGTGTGTGTGTGTGAAGCTGGGCTATAGTGGTCCCTGCCTTTAATTCCAGCACCCAGGAGGCAGAGGCAGGTAGATCCCTGAGTTTCAGGCCAGCCTGGTCTACAGAGTGAGTTTCAGAGCCACAGTTACAAAGTGAGAGCCTGTCTCAAAAAACAATTTTAAAAAGTCAATTATTGGCCGGGCGGTGGTGGCGCACGCCTTTAATCCCAGCACTTGGGAGGCAGAGGCAGGTGGATTTCTGAGTTCGAGGCCAGCCTGGTCTACAGAGTGAGTTCCAGGATAGCCAGGGCTATACAGGGAAACCCTGTCTCAAAAAACCAAAAAAAAAAAAAAAAAAAAAGTCAATTATTAATATAAAAATTTTTTTAACTGAATGAAAAGGGCTTTTCTGTTCTGTGAGGTTGCCCACCTGCTTTTAAATCAGTGTGGTTATATTTTAACTCTAGATTTGTTTCACAGTGATTGTTATTCAAATATATTTAGAAATCCATCAGATAACTGCTGATTGAGAGTCATGATCATCTGAAGGCAGGAAGAGCTAGGCCCAAGGCCTCGGTGTGTGGTTTGCACAGTATGAGCTTCCAACTCCAGCAAGCTCAGGAGCGGACACAGATGTCCTACCTGCTTCTCTCCATATATCAATGAGCACATGAACAGCGAGGAGGCAGTAATAGTCCGAGAACTGCAGCTCTGTCTTCAAACAAGAGCGTCCTGGAGGGGAAAAATCACACCTGTTCTTAGGAGTCGTTCAGCAAGTGCTGCTACAGGAGGCTGCTGTTTATTTGCTTTTTAAAGAAGGAAAAATGAGGGCTGGTGAGATGGATGGGTAGATGGGTAGGTGTGTGGATGGATGGCTGGGAGGCGGGGGAGAGAGAGCAACACAAACCAAAGGCTTAAAAGAAGCCACACTCAGCTGGAACAGTATACGCTATTCTGCCTCACAGGGCCTTTATGAGGATATAAGGGCACAGCTCTGAAAGTCCCCACAAATCATGAACTCATCTAAGAGCCATGGATGAGCCCAGCTGATGAGAAGGAGCAGAAACCTGCAGCAGCAGCAGCAGCAGCAGCAGGACTGAGAAAGCTCCTGAGCAGTCCTCATATGGCACGGGTGTGTGATGAGACCAGCCTGACGTGTGTATTTAAGCCGTGCTCTGGATACTGTACACACTGACTTCTCAGTCTCCGAACGACTGAGAGGGAGGGGAGACAGAGCACATCTCAGCAGCTACTCACCAAACTCCAGTCCGTGCTGGTACCGTAACATCAGTTCTCTGACCACATCCAGCTTCTGACTCTTATCCATGCTGTGGTACAAGCCGAGGAGCCTCGTCAGCTGCACGACACACAGATGCTGCTGCAGGCCTCGGATGTCAGCAGGCAGGGCAAGCTTATCCTCTGTCGGCGTTGACAATGGAACAACTCCAAGAAGCTGGTTAATGAACTGCAGAGAGGATGAACAGAGGCCACACCATGCAAGTGCACTTAGGATACCTCAGATTCTCTGTGAGAAGACTGCTGAGCTGGGGAGATGGCTCAGTGGTTCTTAACCTTAAGTGTTCTTAAAGAGTACTGTCTGTTCTTCCAGAGGTCCCGAGTTCAATCCCCAGAAACCACATAGTGTCTTACGATGATCTATCTATACTGGGATCTGATGTCTTCTTCTGGCATGCAGGCATATGTGTAGATAGAGCACTCATAGGCAATAAAATAAGTCTTTTTATTAAAAAAAAAAAAAAAGATTGCTCTATTATGCCATCTCCACAGACAGCTGTTGTTCAACACCTAGTTCATGCAGACCATAATGCTACATGCCTGGGGAACGTGAAGGCAAGAAAACTAGAAGTTCAAGGACATCCACTGCTATACAGACTAGACCACAAGAGATCCTTGTTTTCCACTCCCCGTTTTATTGTCGGTATTGTGGGTGTTTTGCCTCATGTGTCTGTGCACTATGTAGAGCATAGTCCTCAATCAAGGAAGCCAGAAGAGATGCTTCCACGAGCAGTACGGATGCCCTGGGATTGGAGTTACAAGTAGCTGTGAGACACCATGGGGATGTTAGGAATCAATCTTGGGTTTCTATGAACAGCTAATGCTCTTAATCACTGAGATCTCTCCAGCCCCCAAATAACCTATTTTTTTTTTTTAAATTTGAAAAAAGCTAGTAGCAAAATTACAAAGCAAAATAAAGACTATGAGAATCACTAGACCAGTTCCCAGCCTTGTGCTAGCAGGGCTCCTCTGAGCAAACAAGCCTTACTTCGTGGGGTCCCGTGAGATTCCCACACCAGGCAAGCATAGCTGCTTGGAAGGTAATGCAGGCTTCATCAGTGTCAGTAGCAAGAGAAGGAACATTCCTCAGAGCAGCCGTGCCACCCAGGACATCAGCACTGTTGGACAAGAGACACCCGCAGCCGCCACCACTGCCCCCTGTGGCTCACCCATCACATGGCTGACTCGTGCTTATGTCACCTGGTCCGCATGGTTGCCTGGACTCTACCTACATTTCCTCCAAAACAAAACTCTGCTTCTGGAGGATTCTGACCACTTCCTTCTTCTCTCTGAACCATGTCTTCCCTCCTCTGCTCCCTCTTCTACAGGACAGCCATTCAGATGCATCCTTCCCAGACCAAACTTCCCACTCAACTAGCTTTCTCTCTTGTAAATCTTCAATGCTCCTAGAACCCGGACTCTTTTCTGCATTTTACAGTTTATCTGAGAGGCTGTATGTAGGTCTGAGACCTATACACAAGCATCCCAAGAAAAGTTCCACTGAGACAATGCAGAGGGCCTTTCAGAACCCCACTGACACAACTGGCTTCTGATTAGGATCTAGGATTAGGCATGTACCACACATGTGCCCTAGACGGTCCTCCAAGGACACTCAAGTGCTGAGTCCTGGTAAAGACAAGGCACTCCTCTGCCCTCAGCTCACTCAATCCTTGTGGGGATGAAAGGTCACGGCATCGGCCTTGGCACGGGCACCATGGCTTCCAGTACTCACAAGCACTCACAGGGTGCTCGTGAGTAAGTGGATCACAATCACCACTAGTTTTCCCCATGCCCATCACTGACCTGGTGCTCTGTCCCACCTCAGGCACACTGCTCCTCAGTGGGCAGGACTCCAAGTGCCTATTACCAAGGACAGCTCTGGAGCATGCACTAAACATTTTGAGTATGAAACAGTCTAGGGAAGTAGTTCTCAGTGTGTTGTGACCCCTTTGTGAGTTGAACAACCTTTTCACAGGGGTCAAATATCAGGTATCTTATGTATCAGATATTTACATTATAATTCATAACAGTAGCAAAATTACAGTTATAAAGTAGCAACCAAATATTTTATGGATGAGGTCACCACAGCATGAGGTTCTGTATTAAAGGGGTGCAGCATTAGGGAGGTTTAGAACACATTGTGCTCCTATGTATGGCTCTCATCAGGTAAGGACACAAGCAGCCAAGGCTATACAAGTGCCAGAGTGGCCTGACTTCAGACTGCTCAGCTTCTAGATGAGAAGCTGGCCAGGCTAAACTGCTCACTCTGGATCTCAGCAGAGGAAAAACGGACCCTGGGCCATATGATCCTATCTCAGAAAAATGAAAAGGAAGTTCCTGTTGATAGGTGACAAATCTGAGCCAGGCCTACTGCTGGTGAGAAGTCATGAGCGTGGTTCTGCGCTGACTTACAGGATGTGACAATGACAAGCATTATGGCTGCAAGTCAGTTACTGTACCACCTCCTCCTGAACTAGCGTGCAAGCAGACACTTCGGCCACTGGCAGAACCCAGGAACACGTACTTGTGTGCACTGTGCAGCAGGCAAGAGGTCAACAAACACCTTCAGGTCTGTGAAGCAGCATGGCTTATCCCCGAACTTCTTGAAATACTGGAACATTAACTCTTCTGGGTCACCTTAAAGAGGAGGGCACTGAGTTACCCACAGACTGAGGCAATGTCTAAAGTGACACACCTAATCGAAAGGTCTGTTTTATTTAAATTAACTTTGTCTGAAGCCAGCACAGTGGCACACAACTTTAACCTCAGTGTTCTATCTCAAAAAATTAAATGAAATGAAAATTACAATAAAAGGAGAAAAATAAGAGTTAGGTGTGGTGGGCACAACTATAATACCAGCATTCGGGAGGGAGAGGCAGATCAAAGTTATCCTTAATACATGGCACTCCAGCCACCCTTCCACATTAAAAAACGCTATGCATGGGAGCTCACACCAGAAAGGTTGAGTTCCAGGGCTGCTTGCTCTACTGAGTGAGAGCCATTCTTAAAAAAAACAAAAACAGGGAAAACACTCACAGTCTGAGAAATGTTAAAAAATGGTGAAACCAGAAATTTCTCTTTAAATTGGGTCTGCAAGGACCTGATGGACTAAACAGACACTAATATAAAAACCCAAGCCAATCACAGTCAGCAGATGGATATTGTAAATAAACCATCTTCAACAACTATTTCTAGGTAACAAGCACATCAAGCACATCGATTGGGTGTGCCTCTCACCTTCTCCAGGGCTCAGCACTACCTGAAGGTCTCTCACCCAGCTGTACTTGTCACGGCCTTTCTTTTTTTTGTTTTTTTTTTTTTTTGGTTTTTCCAGACAGGGTTTCTCTGTGTAGCCCTGGCTGTCCTGGAACTCACTCTGTAGACCAGGCTGGCCTCGAACTCAGAAATCCACCTGCCTCTGCCTCCCAAGTGCTGGGATTAAAGGCGTGCGCCACCACCACCCAGCTTCTTGTCACTCTCTTACCCAGCTTGTACTCATCATTACAGCCCTGGGTCCGCAGGCGCCTGATGAGCTCCAGCTTAGCTAGGTGTGGGCCTCGGACATGTCGGGAGCTTTGCGATGCCTCCGTTATCCTGTCCTCTATAAACTTCACGGCATCTTCTGCAGAGCAGTGTACTTCCCCTTCTAAGGAGCTGGGAGGAAATACAAGGCACCATTACAGCTGCTGATCTGGAAACAGCATTTTGCTATGGACAACAACAGCAACAGGAGAATGGTGGCAGCAGGTGTCACAGCTACAGCCCCACCTGAAGGAAGCAGCAGAGACTGAGCACGGTCAAGACCTTGCCTCAAAAAGTCAAGGGCTCCCAGCACCAGAGGGAAGAGGCTGACAGACCTCCATGAGTTCTAAACCAGGCTGGTCTACACAGTTCCAAGACAGGCAGAACTACACAGAGACCCTGTCTCAAAGACACAAAAGAAAACTCAAAGACCAGCAGTGTGACTTAGAAGTAGATCATCCGCCGCACATGCTCAGTGCTGGGTACACTTCCCAGCGGGGTTTCGGTGGTGATGGCGCAGCCCCAGTGAGCTAGCAAGTAAGGCCAAGCAAATGTGAGAAAGCCATGAGCCTGATCAAATAGGTAACAAGCTACAAAATCACTCTTAACCTTGATTCCTGGATACTGAGGATAACAAACCACTGTCAAAGCGCCTCTGGGAGCCCGAGCACCTGAGCTTCCATGGCAGGACCCACAGGAGAAGGGGGTGCACTCCACCAGGTATCGTCTGACACACACGTGGGGCACACATACAAAATAGATAAAGCTTTTGTTTTGGTTCAGTTTTTCAAGACAGGGTTTCTCTGTGTAGCCCTGGCTGTCCTGGAACTCACTCTATGGACCAGGCTGGCTTCATATTCAGAGACGTGCCTGCTTCTGCCTCCTGATTGCTGGATTAAAGGTGTGTGCACCATGCTTGGCTAAATGAAGCTTTTTTAAAAAAAAAAAAAAAAAGACCTATTTTTTAAAGATTCAACTTAAACTTGCTTAGTATTACTTATAAAAAGAGGAAAAAAATTCTGTAGTAACCCAATTACTATCAATAGCAGAGACATTAATATACTATGAAATATCTGAGAGCTTATTCTTGAGCCACTTAAAAAATATAAAAGAAACAAACTTACATCTACTATTTACAAAAGCAAGTTTTAGGGAAGAAGATGCATCAGAATGTCTACTCATCCAACTTGTATGGCACACAGCGCTGACATAACCACAGACAGGGGCAAGGGGGAAGCAAGGTGCTGTTGGGATTTACTTTACATAGATAGATCAAGTGGGACTAAGTGCCACACGGGGACTAAAAGGAGTCTTCCAGGGCGCATACGTTGATTACAGTAAAGGAGGCTTCCAAGATGTACATGTTTATTACAGTAAAACAAGAAGGTTATTTTGAAAGGAAGGTATTATTTCAAAGATAAAATGTTACTGATGCACGGGGAAGTCCTTTTGCTTCATCACAAAGTACGACTGTAATCCAGACATGCTGGTCCGTGCCTGTAACCCCAGCACTCAGGCTAAGGCAAAACAGCAGTCCTGTGCTGGGGACACAGCTCAGTGCTGCAAAAACCTGCCCTAGGGCCAACTCTCAGTGCACAGAAAAAGGCACTGGGACTCCACAAAGACAACAACCATTTGAGGACACAGGTTAAGAAACTCCACCCAAGGTGTCATGTAATGAAAGCTGCCCAAACCAACTCCTTTAAAATATAATGTACAGGCTGGTGAGATGGCTCAGCAGTCATGAGCACTGGCTGGTCTTACAGGGGTTCGGTTCCCAGCACCCACATAGTAGATCAGCCTGTTAATAACTCCCATTTCAGAAGATCCAGTGCCTTCTCTGGTTTCCCTGAGCATGAGGCACAATATGGTGCATACACACACACACACACACACACACACACACACACACACGCACGCACACAAATAAAAATGCTGGCAAATCACTAGTAGAATAATTTACTCTAAAATACAATAAACTATGTAGCATATATGTCACTCCTTACTTAAAGAAAAATTAAAACATTAAGATATGAAAGTGGAAAAGGTGACCACTTACTGTTCCCCTTCAGCAGGAGGCGTCCAGGCTTCTTCAATCAGTCGAAAGACAGAATCGAAATAAGTCAGATAGAACTGCCAGTCATCTGAGCTAAAATCAGATTGAACGATGCACACAGGATTAAACCCACGTTGTGACAAAGCTGCCTGAGGAACCGTGACTACAACCGAATCTCTAGTCACACCCCCCATGTACCAGGCACCCTAGACAGCAACGCTGAGGCTGTGAGAGTCTGAGGCGTTCCATGATAATAAAGACCTAACAAAACATTTCCCCATAACTCTGGGGAAGAGGACAGTACGACACAGCAACCCAACTCAGCCAGCATTGCCAAGGCACCGTGAGGCCTCACCCCAAAATAACTCTCCCTGAAAACTTCCAAAACATCTCAAATATGCCCAGAGCTCGCCCAACCCACACTAGCCCCTGTCTAGAAACCTTTGCAGGCTCTTGGTGCCCTTGCTGCGGCATCCACTTACTTTTTCAGCAGGAGGCGTCGGGAAAGGGCGTTGCACTCAGGCCACTTGCTCAGTTTCTTGTACATGGCCATGCATTTGTTCTCCCGACTCTGGATTTCACTTGTCAACTTCTCTACAATAAAAAATATACAAGTTGGTGGATTGCTTTCACGTCTCAGAATAAAATCCAATCACAGGAAAGACAACATCACATTTTCCTGCTCCCGAAAGAAAATAACCTCACTTTTAGAATACACACTACTATCTCCAAGATCACCTTCTAAATACAAGACTACATTCGAGCAATGAATTTTGGTAATTATTGATGATCCATACTGGGCTGCGGTATATATGTACGTATGTATGTGTGTGTGTGGGGGACGGGTGTGTGTGTATGTGTGTGTATGTGTGTGTGTGCGTGTGTGTGTTTATTCAGGACTGGAAAGCTCAGCTGACACATTTCTGAAGCACTGGAGAGGACTACAGTGAGTGAGTTAAGAATCGTGAGATTTTAAAGTAGAAGGCAAAAAGAACTTCGGAGAATTAAGCGGGAGAGCCGTAGCAAGTGCATCATCAATTCAGCTCAAAACAGAGGCAGACCTGCACGCGTCTAAAGAAGGTGAAGTCAGATGACAGGTCACTCCTGGTTAAGAGCGCTGGCTGCCCCTGAAGAGGACCAAGGTTCGGTTCACAGCACCCACATTGCAGGTCTTCACTACTGTAACTCCAGTTCCAGGGGATCAGACACCCTCTTCTGGCCTCTGTGGTAACTACACACTCATGATGCAGACAGGAATTCAGGTAAAACAGTCATACAGAAGTAAAATGTTTGAAAGAAAGACAGAGAAACTCCTTCTTAGGAAATAAAAAGGTAACTGGACGCAGGTGCTGGTGAATGTCTATCCGCCAGCTCAGGAGACAGAAGCCAGGTCAGTTATGTTGGCGACTAGTCAGATCCACAGAAGTCTAACCAGTCTGGCCTATCTGCACAAGACTGTCTCCAAAATCCAAAAAGGATAGTCTTGCCGGGCTTGATTCTGACCTGTAATTCCAATACTTAAGAGGCTGAGGCAGAAGAGTTACTATTTGAGGCCAGCCTGAGCTACATGTGGAGGTCCAAACCATTCAGGGCTGCAGAGTTAAGACTGTCTCAAAACACTAACAAGGCAATGGGGCTGGAGATGGCTTAGAAGAAAAGGTTTGTTGCTTTTGCAGAGAACCCAGGTTTAATTCCCAGCACCCACAGAGCAGCTCACAACCATCCATAAGCAGCAGAATCCGCCGTCTGGCCTCTGTGAGCACATCCCGCATGGAGTGCGTTCACGCACAGGAAACAAAACACCCATACACAGAAAGATAACGAGGACAGGCAACAGCAGACCTGTAACAGGGTCAGAGACTCAGGATACACCCTCTCACACATCTTCAGTCTGAAGCCACAAATTACCCAGTTAAAAACAATTTAACACAACCCATGGTGGTGGTGCACGCCTTTAATCCCAGCAATTAGGAGGCAGTCGCAGGTGGATCTCTAAATTCAAGGCCAGCCTGGTCTACAGAGCAAATTTCAGGACAGCCAGGGGTACACCTGTCTCAAAAACAAAATAAAATAAAATAAAATAAAATAAAATAAAATAAAATAAAATAAAATAAAAATTTAACCCAGGAGTTCAGGGCCAGACAAACTCAATGGAGGAAACTGGGGGTGGGGAGGGGAGACAGCAAGGTGAGGTGACCTAGGGGGAGTGAGGAAACGGTGGGGAAACAACAGCATCAAAATGCATGTGTGAAACTGTCAACCAATTAATAAAAAAAGACTTTGTTTTTCTAGACAGGGTCTCTTTACATCACACGGGCTAGCCTGGAACCCACTCTGTAGCCCAGACATGCTTCTGCCTCCCAATTGGTGGGAATAAAAACATTGTTTAATACTTTCAACATGAATTAGAGAGCAGATAAAACGAGAAGCAGAGCACAGTGATATAAAGTTATCAACTGTGTGGGAATTTTTTTTTTACCACAAATAATTTTCATTTTCAAATTAAAGACAAACAGAAAATTTTATAAATTACCTCCTAATTTCCCTCTAATGACGTCCAGGGCTTCCTGGTACTTTCCCAAGCGCTCCAGGATCATATAATAAAGTTCAACCTTGCAGAGACACAAACAGTTACAATTATTTAACAGACCGTGTCAAGACTTCCCTTTCTACACATGCCTGGATCGGGCACACTTGCCGGAGACAAGCTGGCGACACTGTGCCTGAGCTGAGGCTACCCAGTAGTGTTGACTGGAGGCCCAGGTGGGGTCAGCAGCTAAGAAGCGGTTGCGGGCACCACAGGCTGCAGCCTGTCCCAGCTGGAGAGTGGGGAAAGGAGGTGTGCACTCACCTCAGCTTCAGCCTCAATCTTGTCTTCCTTCACCATTTTCTCTACCATCCTTTCTGCCAGCGGCAGAAACATGGTTTTCGAGAGGTTTTCATCTCGTGCAGATATAGACTGTGAGAGGAAAGATAAGTGTTTTGCTTTGATTTCTCTCCTGCTTGCTCTGTTCATGTTACCATGCAGATAACCATTGTGACCTGTGACTCTGGGCCCTGTTTACTGAGATAATTCTGTAAAACAGGAAACTGAGGCTCAGAAAGAACAAATGCAAGCCAGGTGTGGTGTTGCACATCTGTACTCCTCCGCTGCCACGTACAGAGTTGGGAGACAGCCTGGGATGAACAACTGAGAAAATGCCAGCAGCCAGGCATGGCAGCCAAACCCCAAAATTCAAGACGGGGAAGTAGCAGGAGCTTGAGTTTGAGGTCAGCCTAGGTTACAGAGCAAGCTCAAACCAAGACAGAAACACTAAAAAAAGGAAGCTGAAAAACTGTCCCAGTGGTTGAGAGCCAGCTGCTTTTCAGAGGACCTGAGTTTGCTTCCCAGCACCCACACGGTGGCTCACAAGTGTCTGTAACTCCAGTTCCAGGGTTAGCACTCCCTCTTCTAGCTTCAGCGGCCCCCAGGCTCACAATGGTGCACAGACACATACAGGAAAAACACCTAGACACATACAATAAAAATTAAACAGAGGCTACCAAGCATCGCCAACTTGAAGAGCCAACAGGTGATTTGTGAAGCTCCTCCTGACACTCGGTACAATGTGTTCCTTGAGCTCACAGTTCATTACAGACAAGGATGGTGAAGACAGGCTTGAACCCCATCCTGAGCAGCATACTTACTTGCATGATTAAGCTCATCACGGACCAAAAGTAGTACGGGTTTTTGGGGACAATCTTATACAGAGCCATGCCAGCCTGAAAGACAGAGAGCTTCATTTAGAAACCATCAACTGGAGGACAGCTAGCAAACTGGGAAGTGACAGAAGTGACCCTGGGAAGCGACAGAAGTGACCCTGGATGTGCAGCACATCAGGAGGAGAGCAGCCACACAGTTACACACCGGGTCGGTGGCAGTGCCTGGTAACCTCCTCACTACAGCAGCACGAGTGAATAAAATGTACAGTTTACATCAGAGTGACAGTTGACCTTCTGAACCATTGTTCTACAGCACAAAGTCCTAGGAAGACTACCGAACCTCACAGAGCCTGACTGCGTCAGCTGATGGAATCCTCAGGCTGGGCGTGGAACTCAATTGGCAGAGTGCATGCCCATCAGGCACAAAGCCCTAGCTTCAGTGCCCAACACTGCATAACCAGGCACAGGCACATGGACACATGCTGCTAGTTTCAGGTACACGGGAGACAGAGGCAGGTCAAGATTATAGTCAGCTGTGTACAGAATGTGAAGCCAACCTGGGCTGAGGCTCTGTCAGAGCAAACGAGCCACAGCCGCAATCCTTTCTGAAGAAGACACTGAAGCAGCCACAGCAAAGAAGGTATGCTAGACAGGAGCTGAGCTCAGTGGCAAGCCAAGGCCATCAGCCAGGCAGTGGAGCGGGTCTGGAATGAGCAAGCCTCCCAGAACCTGAGAGGTAGAGACAGAGGATCAAGAGTTCAAGACCAGGCTAGAGAGACGGCTCAGCAGTTAAAGAGTATTAACTGCTCTTCCAGTAGATCCTGAGTTCAAGTCCCAGCAAACACATAGTGGCTCATAACCATCTGTAATGAGGTCTGATAATTCTTTTTGGGGAAAAAAAAAAAAAGAGAGTTCAAGGCCAAGGCCAGGACTTCAAGGTCTTCTTCAGCTACAGCGTAAGGGTACTGCTTCAGAAAACAAACTGCCGGACGGTGGTGGCGCACGCCTTTAATCCCAGCACTTGGGAGGCAGAGGCAGGCGGGTTTCTGAGTTCGAGGCCAGCCTGGTCTACAGAGTGAGTTCCAGGACAGCCAGGGATACACAGAGAAACCCTGTCTCGGAAAAAAAAAAACAAAAAAACAAAAAAAACAAAACAAAAACAAAACAAAAAAAGAAAACAAACTAACGGAAAAAAGTATTAACCCCTTTGTTGTGAGTACAACATACTCACACTGAGAGTTCGTGCAGAGAAACAGCTAACTAGAAGTACTCAAGCATACCTGAGATTAAATTGTTGTGCACAAATCCCTATAACTCTTGAGAACCCTTCCCAGGGATGAGCAAAAAAAGAAAGACACAGGGAAAATGTAAACTACACAAATCATTCTTCATGGAGGGATGGTGTGTCCATGCAAATAGATGCACATGTGTGCACATGTACAGGCCAAAGGGCAACCTCGGGCTTATTCCTTAGGAGCTGTCCACCTTGCTTTTGGAGACTATGTCCTCGCTGGGACTGAGGGCTTGTCAATTAAGCTAGGCAGGCTGGCCTGAAAAATGGCAAGGACTTGTGTCTCCATCTTCAGCACTGGGATTACAAGCAAGCTGCCACAATTGATGGGTCGTCTGTTTTGTTTTTAACCTGAGTACTGGGAATCAAACTCAGGCCTCATGTGTACACCGCAAGCATTTTGCCAACTGAGTTATCTACCAATTTCTTGATTCTTCTCTGGGCCAAGGTTATCATGCAGCCAAAGCTGACCTCAAGCTTGCTGTGTAGCTGAGAATGGCTCCAAACTATCTCCCAGGTGCACAACATTCTCAACAAGTTAAAATTTACTTAGCAATAGCAAAGTAGACGGCTCAGGGATTAAGAATGCATACTATAGAGCTGGGAAGATGACTCAGTCATTATGAGCACTGGCTGCTCTTCCACAAGACCCAGGTTTGTTTTCCAGCACCCACATGACTGCTTACAACCTTCCATAATTAATAGATCCAGAGAAATCTATAGTTGCCCTCTTCTGACCTCCTTAGTCACTGTACACAAACATACATGCAGCAATGCAGCAAGCAGCAACACACACACACACACACACACACACACACACACACACACACTAAAAATAGAAGGGGCTGCAAAGATGGCTCAGGTTAGGAGCATGTACTGTTTTTCCAGAAAGCCTGAGTTTGATTCCTAACAACCATGTCAGGCAGGTCACCTGTTTCTCCAGTGCCAGAGAATCTGATGCCTCCTGCACTTACACGAACATAAGCACACACAAACATTTATATCCATACACTTAATGAAAGTAACAATATACAGATAAAACACAAGCTAGGCGATTCCAAGAAAGGTGAGATCACACACATCCTCACATCCTCCCCTCTTTAAGAGAGAATGGGGAAGCATTACTATGAAATCCCATGGCAATACCATCTCAGAAGGACCTCAAAGGACAAAGGGACGCTCTAGACCAGACTGAAGATATTTATGATATACAAACAGGTGACAAAGCCAACCAATTCTCATGAGTGGATATCAGGCTGAACAAAATCAGGGAAACTGAGTCATGGGGCTGGAGAGATGGCTCAGTGGTTAAGAGAGCCTGCTGTCTTTCCAAAAGACTGAGTTCCATGGCAACCACACAGGCAAAAAAAGATGAAAAGGGCTGGGGACAGCTTAGCAACCAGAGAGCCTGGGGTGCAATCTCTAGAATTACCAAAGAAAGAGAGAAGCTCTGCAGGAGGAGTGCATGCACAGTATTTACAACGCCCTGCGGTCAATCTCAACAGCAAAAGGAAAGGAAAGAAAACAATTTCATGAGGACGAAACATAACTACTTTGCTTGTAAAGTCTTCAAAAAAGAATCTAATGGGGATAGGAAAATTATAAGTCCGTGTCTTTACAGAACTGCAAAGAAGGAAGGAAGCCAACAAAGTGAGGGAGCTGCACCAGGAGTGGAGCACGGTGGACAGAGGGCCTGAGAGCACTGGGCACCAGGAGTGGAGCACAGTGGACAGAGGGCCTGAGAGCACTGGATACCAGGAGTGGAGCACGGTGGACAGAGGGCCTGAGAGCACTGGACACCAGGAGTGGAACATGGTAGACAGAGGGCCTGAGAGCATTGGACACCAGGAGTGGAGCACAGAGGACAGAGGGCCTGAGAGCACTGGACACCAGGAGTGGAACACAGTGGACAGAGGGCCTGAGAGCACTGGACACCAGGAGTGGAACACAGTGGACAGAGGGCCTGAGAGCACTGGACACCAGGAGTGGAGCACGGTGGACAGAGGGCCTGAGAGCACTGGACACCAGGAGTGGGGCACGGTGGACAGAAGGTCTGAGAGCACTGGACACCAGGAGTGGAGCACGGTGGACAGAGGGCCTGAGAGCACTCAGGAAGGAGGACCAGGATGCACAGGACACAGCAGACACTCAGCGTGGGGCAGACACCCTAAGTTGTCTGGATCTCCCATGTCTAACATTAGGGCACACATACCCTAGAGAAATAGGTGAAGACTGTTAGAAAGCCAATTTTATACATAATTTAAAGGGAAATTCTCATAATGACAGAGATTAAAGACATCTTAATGATTAGAAATGTAAAAATTTAATATAAAATAAGACATTTCATCTAGCAGACTGAAACCACATCATTCCTCCCCTGCATGAAGATCTAACAGTCTAAAAGTTAGATACACTTAAACCACACTGAAGACCTCCACAGCAACTAAGTCACATCAAAGGAGGACCACCACCCCTGGTAAGGTGAATGCAAAGCTAGGTACACAAATTCAAAACCAGCTCTATGCATGATCTATGAAATTTTTATTTGGTCAAATTTAGTATTAGAGCTACATCCTGCCAAGCATAGTGGCTGACCTTTAACCTCAGCACTCATGAAGCAGAGGCAGGCGGATCTCTGAGTTCGAGGCCAGCCTGGCCTACACAGTGAGTCCCAGGACAGTGAGAGCGACAAGACTCAGTCTCTAAGGACTGACTACAGACATTTAATGAGCTCAGTGAGCAGCAGAGCCCGACTTCTCATCGCCATGCCTCACACGGCGGCTCGAGCCTTCCCTGCCAAGACTTTAGGGAGTAAGGAGTGGGGCTGTTTGTGACACATTTGTAGTCAACAATGAAGATGCAGTACTATCTGGAGGTATTGGAGGCCTTTCCCTTTGAGAAGAACCTTACCTCCATCAGTGCTATGCTACAGACATGTGTCTAACAGCCCGCCTTAAAGAAAACCTTCCCGGAAGAAGGAGCTGTGCTAGGAATCCCTACAGGAACGGGGCAGGGCTGCTGGAATGCAGTCCTAGCCCTGGGCAGGTAGGGGCAGGGGCAGCAGCCTGTTCGGGGACACTCTACTACATAGCAAGCTGGAGGCCAGCCTGGGAAATGAAATGAAATCTGCTCTCAAAAAACCAAGGGGAGAAAAATGTGTGTGTATGTGTGTTACTGCAGCAATTAAAGAATATTTCCATTTCATACGAAAAGAAAACCATAGACAGTGCAGGAGCAACTGCTCTGCAGCTAACAGTGTTCACTCCTCCTGCAGGGGACCTGCATACAGTTCCCAGCACCCACACCAGGAGGTCTGGTATCTCCTCTAATTTCAGTTCCGGGCCTCTGTTTTCAGAGGAAATTAGCACTCATGTGCATATACCCACACAGACACACAGACACAAACATAAATAAGAATACCCAGGGAGGTCAGAATAGGATGTCAGATCCTTTGGACATACAATTATAAATGGTTGTGAAATGCCACAGGTGTTAGGAATCAAAGCTGTGTCCTCTGGAAGAACAGACCAGTGCTCTTAAAATAACTATGTTTGGGCAATAAAGAAATTCTTACACTTTGAAAACTTATATAAAGGAATATCCACATTGATTCTGAGGAAGGATTGTGCTACTCCAGTTTCTTTACCCTACCTGACTTCCTATTGCTAGAATGTGATACTGCAAAGAACAAGTTAAAACAAAAACTCAAATTTAAAAAGAGGTGTGTCATATAGACCTGTAACCCCAGCACTCAGCAGGCAGAAACGGAGCTTTTGAAACACACGCTTACAATCCCAGCTACTCAGGACGTTGGAGGCAAGCGTATATCAAGTTGAAGTCATTCTGGGCAAGAAAAGGTCTTTCTCTAGCCCAGGCTGGCCACGATCCTCTGATCTTCTTGCCTTCACTTGCAGAGTGCTGGGCTTATAGGCGTGCAGGACCACGTGAGCTCATGTTCTGCTAGACCCAGAGAGAGCTCCGCGCACACCAGGCAAGCACTCCTCTGAATGAGCCACATCTCCAGCCCCAGTGTGATTGCTGAAGGACTGAGAATATCGCCAGCACGCATTCCCTGGGTGTAATAGTAAATAGGGAACTATTAGCATAACATAGCTATTTAGAGCTTCAGAGCACAGGTTTCATTTTTCTGGAATATCAGCTTTATCCAGAAACCAGTTTCAAACCTGTGTCCAAAAAAGACTCCATCAAATGTACACAAAGAACCCCTAAAGTAAAATTACTGGAAATAAGCCACTCTGGCAATCAAGAATGAAAAACTTCAGCCATGGGGACTTCTCCCCTGGTGAACTTAGTAAACTCTCAGAAAGCTAAAACAGCTCAGTTAACTGGATATAAACTTACTTTAGAACGCCGTCTGTCTGTCTATCTGTTCACTGTGCTCTGGGACTTCTGCTTATTCATTTTCTGGACCCTGAACAGCAATGTCACCCAGGAGAGCAATCTGGAGCTGACAGTAAACCAAAGCAAACACACCAGCAGCCAGCCAGCGGCACACTTCCTCAAGTAAAGCATTTCAAAACCCCGAACAATATGAAACTGGCTGATCTCTCTCAAACACACACGCACGCACACACGCACGCACACTGGGCGTGGTTACCTGCTGCATCTTCTTGTACTCGCCCACCCTGGCATAGGCCATGAAGAGGTGAGAGTGGTACTCCTCACTGTTGGGGACTTTCTTCACAGCCGCCTCATAGAGTTTTGTGACTAACTCCGCTAAGAGGAAGACAAGCAAGATTCAGTTATGCTTCCGTGAGAAAAATCCTAATGCTCTTCATTTTCCTGCTTGGTTAAAATGGTGGTTCTCAACCTTCCTAATGCTGAGAGCCTTTAGTTCAGTTCCTCATGTTGTGGTGACCCCCGACCAGAAAATTACTTCATTGCTACTTCCCAACTATAATTTTTCTACTATTATGAATTGTAGTATAAATATCTAGTACTCAGGATATCTGACATTCACTCCAAAGGGCCTGGACTCCAGGTTAAGAAGTGCAGGTTTGCTAAGGGAGGCACTACCCATCTGAGCCCTGCTTCTGGGCTTCCATCGCCTCCAGCCTTCACTGTGCAGGGAAACCAATTGTAGCTCCCCAGGGTCCCCTGTGATGTCATGCCCTGGGCTTCCATGCTTCTCCTAGAACCCAGACTCTTCTACCCTCTCTTCCCCTCAGTAAGCCCCACTGAACCAGCTCCAACCAGTTTTCTCTGCAGGTCCCACCCTAACAGTCTAATTCTCCACCCCAATTTGATCACTGTCTCTTCTGCTGTGTTAAACTCCCACTGAAAGATAAGGCCTCTATCACAGCATTTACAACTGATACCAGATGCAGCAAGGTGTGGCAGCTCATACCTGTGATCCCAGCCTTAGGAAGGAAGGTGAGGCAGGGACACTGCAAGTTCAAGGTCTGCATGGACTGAAGTCAAGGCTATTCTGCTCTAGTTAATGAGACCCATCTCAACATAAAAAACACATTAAGGACAAGAAGTCCCTCAACTTAAGGGCTGAGTACTTGCCTAGCTTGTGTGAGGCCCTGGGTTTGATCCCCAGTACCACAGAAATAGCCAATATTGGCTTCTTCAGATTCACACAAACAAGTGCTTTCTGATACAAATCTGCTCCTAACTGTGGACCTTCACGGAATGAGTACCTCCTGGCAATGAATGTGGAGAGCTTTTAGGGCCACTTTTAGGAATTTGGCAGGAATTTGATATCAGGCAGGGACAACAGGTAGGCTCAAGGCAAATACAGCCGAGGAATGTATTGTAATCCTTGTATCCGGATCATCCTGGTAAACCCCTAGACACAGGGACTCTGTGTATTGCTTTGATTTTTGCTCTGCTTATTCCTTGACTACTGTGTTTGTCTTAAGGACTGATCACATTCTTTGCATGTACCCAGAATGATATAAAAGCAGACTGGAAAAAATTAAACTTGCCCCAGTCTTACAAAAGGCTGGGCCATGCTACAGTGTTGTCTAATTGTCTTTTTCCTTTTACTCCTCACTCCTGCCCTGGAGAACCTGAATTGACTGACTGAGCTGGCTTGGTCAAATGAACGCGAACTCATTACAGCCCTGGGGATATCAGCCCAGAAATGCACTTCACAGAGGCACACAGCACAGACCCAGCAACAGGAACCCCAAGATAAGCTAAGGCTGTCTCAGCACTGGAGACAAGACAGATCTGAAGCCAGCAGAGGGTACGGGTGCAGTTCAGGGGTAGAGGGATTGTCCATCTTGGGTAAGGAAGAGGCTGGGAGGGAGGATGGGGCAGCAAGCAAGTCAATCAATGTCATTCAGGAGAGCCTGGGGAGGCTTGCCCAGCATCAGCAGTGGTCTGGTCCATTCTGCCCTTTCTCTGCTGAGTGTAGTGGGCACAGCAGAGATGCCCAGAGGACAACTCTTGGACATTTGTTCTCTCCTCCTACCGTGGGCTTGAGGGCTGAACTCAGGATGGCAGTCTGCATGGCAGTTTCTACCTCAGCCACCTTACCAGCCCAACAAGAGTCTACTTCTTAAATACAGGGTGACCTCATGAGCATTTATTATGACTCACTAACTTCAATAGAATATTATATAAACAATGTAAATAATATTTATAAAACAATATATTTCATAATAAAGTACTTAAGAAATCCAAACAAGGCTGGAGCATGGTGGTGCATGTCTTTAATCCCAGCAGCAAGAAGCCAGAGACAGGTGGATCTCTGTGAGTTCCAGGCTAGCCAGAACTACATAGGCCCTATCTTAAAAAAAAAAAAAAAAAGGGGGGGGGGAGGGTGGGGGGGAGGGTGGGAGAGAGAGAGAGAGAGAGAGAGAGAGAGAGAGAGAGAGAGAGAGAGAGAGAGAGAAAGGAGGAAATTAACTCGTGCTGACTCTCATTCCAGTAAAGGAGCTAATGCATTTAACTATCCTGGCAAAGGTCTTCACAGGCCACAAACAGTACATTCATCTCTACGGCATGTGAGTCAGGGGTGATGAGGGAAGTTACGTACGCCGGTGCATCTCTCGGTAGAGGATTGTCAGGGCCTGCAGGGAGTTGTCATCTGTGGGCTCAAGGGCAGCCACCTCCTGAGCCAAGGTGAAGGCTTCTTCCTGTTTTCCGGTTCTCTGTAAACCAATGGCCTTGAGAACCTGACACAGAAGAGAAGGAAAAGCTAAGGAGGAAGGATTCTGCCCCTGGGCTGCAGAGAAGCCCATCTCCAGAAAGCCAGGCCACGTGCTCCCTGGAGCACTACAGCTGAGCCACATGTCCAGCATGTGCTCCTGACCCAGTGCTGGCAAGGTGGAGGCAAGTGATCTCATGGCCAGCCTGGCCTAGTCGGCACTTTCCAGACCAGTGCGACTCGGTCTCTAACTAACTAACTAACTAGCCAAACAAACAAACAAATAACTAGGTTTGGCTGAAGAAAAACGCTTGCTGGTCTATCGTGACGATCAAACTTTGGATCCCAGCACTCACGTGAGGCAGCTCATGACACCTGCAACTCCAGCTCTATCTAAGTGACCCAATGCTCGTTCTAGTCTCCATGGCCATGGGGGTTGTGGGAGATGGGGGCATATACACACAGACACACATAACATAATTTTTGTTTGTTTTTGATTTTTTGAGAGACAGGGTTTCTCTGTGTAACCCTGGCTGTGCTGGAACTCTCTCTGTAGACCAGGCTATCACTGAACTCACAGATCTGACTGACTGCCTCCCAAATGGTAGGATTAAAGGTGTGTGCCATCATTGCCAGACTATAAAATCTTTAAAATGTCACCTGTTCTTCTACATGTACTCACATGTGCACCACAGCCCATGTGCAAACAAACAAACAGAGAAATAGAACATTACATATACAGCTCACAGCTGGGCATCATGGCCAGGCTTTTAATGCCAGTCCCCGGAACACAGAAGCAGGAGGGTCTAAGTCCGAGGTCAGTCTGGTCTACACAGGAAGTTCCAGGCTAGTCTGAGCTATTTAGAGACCCTACCTCCAAAAATATACACAGTATAACCCACAACTATGACTGACTACAGGGCAGACGCGGTTACCTTCGCACAGTGAAGATCCTTGTGTTTCTTCAACAGTTTATCAGCTTGCTGGATTGCCATTTTATTATTTCCATTATCAAGATAATCTATGAAAAAAAATCAGTTATCATAATCCTTCACCATCAATCACAAGAAATACAGTTTTCTTTGAGATCTTGAGAAAGTTCCTTAATTTTTTATTTAAAACACTATGTCAAAACAAAACAAAACAAAACAAAACAAAAAAACACTATGTCAGAAGCTGGGCATGGTAGCACACACCTTTCATCCCAGCACTCGGATCCCAGCCTGGTCTACAGAGCAAATGCCAGGACAGCCAGGGTTACACAGAGAGACTCTGTCTTGAAAAACAAAACAAAAACCAACCAACCAAAGAAAAACCCCAAAATTAACAAAACCAAGACTGCTTCTGATGACTCTTCTGCTGCTGCTCAGTACCACCATGCACTAATTAAACTTTTCTATTAAAAAGCAAAATCAGGCTGGAGAGATGGCTCTGTGGTAGGAGTTTGTAGCTTATGCAGAATTTAATTCCCAGCACCCATGTGGTAGCTCACAGTCACCAGGTCCTCTGTTCCCCACATGGTTTTTTGTTTGTTTGTTTGTTTGTTTGTTTGTTGTTCTTTTGTTTTTTGGGGGGTTTTTTGGAGATTTTATTTATTTCATGTGTATGGGTGTTTTGCCTGTATGTATGTCTGTGTACATGTGTATGTCATGTCAGAGGAGGTCAGAAGCGAGCACTGGATCCCCTGAAATTCAAGTTATGGGTGGTTGTGAGATTCCATGTAGGTGCTGGGAACCGAACCAGGGTCCTCTGGAAGAACAAGTGCTCTTAACCATTGAACCATCTCCAGGCCCCTGATTTTTCTTTTTTTAATCTCTGAGAAAACAGTGAGTGGTTATAAGTTAAAATATCTTTAAGCAATAAAGTTGGAGTTTTTAAAATCTTTAATATTATTTTTTGGTATGAGCGCTGTCTGTATATACACCTGCATGCCAGAGATGCGCCATCAGATCCCATTATAGATGATTGGCCGTGAGCCACCATGTGGCTACTGGGAACTGAACTCAGGTCCTCGGGAAGAGCATCCAGTACTCTTTCTCCAGTCCCACTTAATGTTTTGTTTTTAAAGGAATTCTTGGGGCCAGCAAGGTGGCCGAGCAGGTGAGGCACATTCCACTGAGCCTGATTACCCAAGTCAGAACCTGAGGACCAGCATGATAGGAGACAATCAACTCCTTAAGTGGCCTTCTAGCCTCAGGTGTGCAGCGCACACCACATAGTAAAAAAATAAACGGGAAAGTACATTTGTAAATTACTCTTTTTAGTATACAGGCTTCAAAGCATCAGTGGACCAAGCCCCTTAAATAAAACATCAAGTATTTATTTTGCCCCGAAATTCCAACGCAGTGAACAAAGCATAAGGGTTGCTTTACCCAAAAGCTTAGGGGAGGAGAGAGGAAGCCGGCAGGGTGTGAGGAACACCAGGCAAAACCAAAGCAAGGTTCTGCCTGGTGAGGAACTGAAGCTATCTGACCATTTAAAACCAATGCTTACTGTGTCTGTGGGTGTAAGCCATGACGCTTTGATATGACTGCCACAGTCAGGTGCTTCATGGCCTCACAGGTAACCGACCACCCCTGTGCAGTCAGTACACTATCTCAGACATGGTCAGCATACGAGACATGGGAATTCTAGACACAGCTGTCCATGTGACTGTCCAGTTTGTATGCCCCCCCCCATATCTCTCTTCTCCCCTCTTCCTCATCCTACAATACTGTCGTACTCTTTCTGTGTGTTCCCTGTGCAAGCCCAGGCAGGCACGCCTTTCTTTGTGTCTAGTCTATGTCACTTAGCAGTGACAACCAGGTAGCCACAATGTCCTATCTCCCTTTTGTCAAGGCTCAATTTAATATTTTGCTGTGTGGATATGTGTATCTTAAGGTCTGCATCCACACACACGTTAATGAAAATCAGCGTTCTGGGGGGAGAGGAGGCTACTCCAGACACTTCTTATTTATTTTTTAATTTTGTGTGTGTGTGTGTGTGTGAGTGGCATCAGGGGCCAGAAGAGAATGCTGAAGCTCCTGGAAGTAGAGTTACAAACAGTTGTGAGCTGCCATGGAGGTGCTGGGAATCCAACCCAGATCCTCTGAGGAGGAGTCACTGCTTCTAACTGCTAAGCCGCTTCTCCTGTGAAAACTGTCAGCAGCTGTGTGAGCCGCACGAGTCCTGCTGGCTTCAGTGCAGTCACTACTGAGGAGCAGCTCTAACAAAGACACTTTACTCTGTGGGGAATCACAACTGAGAAAGAAAGTCAGGGAGCCCGGCACTGGACGGCAGCTCTTCCCATCACACCTCGATGTTGCTCTCAGTCCACGCCCTGCCAGGTTCTAGGCTCACAGACCACACTGGAAAGGGGCCCTGAACTCGCCGGGATCATCTTGCCTCAGACTCCAAAATGCTGAGATTACAGGCTCACCGTTTAACATCCAAACTGTTCCCCACCCCTACCCTCTCACCCCAGACCCTAGTTTAGGATTGTGAAGTGAGTGTTTGAAGCCAGCTTGGGTTACATACAAGGCCATCTTTTCCTTCTTTCTTTCTTTCTTTCTTTCTTTCTTTCTTTCTTTCTTTCTTTC